GTCTGTCCCTTCAGAGGAGGTAACGGTGGCCGCCTATGAGTTGCCTCCACAATAAGATGGCCACCACTTCTGGCCTTAGGAGTGCTCAATGCCGTTATAGGCAAATGCCCGCCATTTGAAAAAAAAAAAGTGTCAATAAAAGATGTATGTGATTGTTTAAGGTCTTATCAGAATAAACATTTCAGTGAAAGCCATTGCAAGATGTCATATTTCGTAAAAAAGGTTGTATTGTGGATATAACTCCAAGAATTAATTCCTGCGTTTAAAATTTTGCACCAAGGCCCCGAGATCGAGTTACTTGTAGCTACACTAACAACAAAACAAAACAAACAAAAAAATATCGTGGGAATCTTTAATTCCTGGATTATTTTCCATAATCAGCAAAGAAGGTGTTTAAAACCACTATTATTTATTTTTTTTTTTTTTTTCTGAAATTCTGTATCGGTAGCAGAATATCATCGTTTCGCCTGCAACAATAGCAGCTGTTCACTTCTATATACGCTGTATTTTAATATTAATATATATATATTTTATTTCCAGTTGCTGGAAAAAAGTTACAAAAAACTAAAATCTCATAAATAGAGGTTACAAACAACAGAACTAAGACGAAAAAGACCGAATTCATTGCCTGAGGAGTATTTTTGCCTCTCAGTATTTCGACTCTTCAGTAAACCCACGAAGCAGGTGTTCCCTGTTAATATTAATGTAAAAAAATTGCACTCTATTTCAAATTTATTTTTGGGTAAAATTTTAAACGAAACTGTTGATTTCGATGGCGATCAGACGCAGAGCTCTCTTCTTCAGAAGAAAAAATCTGATGTGTACACCACATGACTTCCTTGTACGGAATATTAAATTATACGCATTTTTTCTTGCATTTTGTTTAAACTTATTGGATTTAATTATATCTACTTCGCCAACAGCGCATAAACCACAATAGAATAAGTGCATTCTTTAAAATTCACTCTATTTGTTTACCATAGCCACACTCTGGCGCTAGGTTCACTTAACTGTATTATATTTCGTTCATATTATAACTCAGAATGCACAAAATTTGTATCATTTAAAGAATTATCTAATCGTTGGCACATGTTCTATTCAAGTACTATAATAAAGCTAGAACGATGTATAAAAGAAATTAAGCAAACAAAACAAAAAAGAAACAGTTTTTCACAGACGATTGAGTATTGAGACGATTGAGACGATTGAGTATTATTCAATTAATTCAGTTCTCACTTCGCGACAAGGCAAAAATACATAAAAACTCATATCTCTACTAAAAATGACTAATTATTAAAAATTAAGTTACTAATTATTAAAAATTAAATTATTAAAATAAGTAAATCTAAACACTTATTTCCTCAAAAAAATTCCAGAAAGGATTAAGCATGATTTAAATCGCAATAATAATGAAGGCGTTTAGCTTGTTGTTGCAAACTACGTTCTCTAGATTGGCAACAAATTCACTACTCAGCTGTTTCAAATGTAAACAAGCAATGGCCGCCATCAAATAGGCTTAGCGGCACTTTAAACAACTTTAAAATTGTGTAATTCTAAAAATATTGCAGACAGATTTACTAAAGGCAAAAACCCTTAACCGGAAGATAAAAACAACATAATTCAAACATTTTTAAAGAAAAAAATGTGCAATTTACAAACATCTAAGAGTAAAGAAACTGAGATCACTGAGCCGGGTAACAGAGTGGATATATTTATAATATATTTATATACGTTTTGGCGCGGCCGATTGCAACCAAAATACGAGTGCACATCTACATGTTATAGCAGTCCTATATACAAAATTTTAACGTTCTGAGGCTACTCGTTTTTAAGTTATGCGAGATACGTACGTACATACGTTCGTACAGACGCCACGAAAAATTCTCTTCAGAATTCATTTTAAACCAGTTTTTTAGTTTTTTTGGAGGAAGAGAGTAGGAAAAGAGTCTTTTATTCTGTCCTTACGTACAGATATCACGCGAAAACATCGTTAAATTGCATTCGAAAGCGGTCAAAGTGGATATTTTCGTTGAAATATGCTGCCTGAAGCTTTTCGCGACTAGAATACTTCCTTTCTACTTCGTACAAGGAAGTAAAAACATTCTGTGGAATGGGATTCAAAGAAGTCCAGTTCACCAACTAAAGAAATTTTATGCATAATTTTCTCAGAACCCAAGTCAAAATCGAATTTTAATTTTCAGCTATGATTAACTGTAGAAGATCTTTTATTTCTTTTTTTTTCGACCACGTTCATTCATATTCTTTGATGCAAAATTTCAACGCTCTTTTAGTTTGTTCGATACATCCCGAACCACACGGACAAGATACGATATAAATTCTCCAATAGTGAGAGATAGTATTTAAGAATCGAATAATGAATTTTATTGGTAGGTAAGAAAATGACTTGAAAGTTGAGCTTGAGCTTCTGAAGAATTGGTTCAATTTTCTAACTTATAAAAGAATGAAATGGAATTAGGTTAATGATATTATTTATAGCAGTAGAATGTCTCCTTTGATGGTAAGCGGAAAAGATTTTAAAGGCCTTTAACTGTGACCATGGAAGAAAATCTTCTGTCAATGGCAACTAAATTCAAACGACTGAGTTCATTAGAAAACAAAGATTCTGAAAAACAACGCGATATACATGAAAGAAAAAAATGCTTTTAACGTAGAAGGAATTACGTTATAGTGGTTTGATGGGAAAGCAAAAATAACACGATATTTTAGGTGTCTGGCGAATGCTTTCTTCGAAACTACAAATATTACAATGAACCTAAACATATCAATAGATAGATGAAAGCAACACAAAAAATTAGCGAATTATTTCTTTTCTAAGAATTAGGCAAAAGGTATATGCATGGGAACGTCTCAAAATTGACGAAATTTTGGTGACGTCGAAGCTCCGTCCGCATGCGCGACCGCGTGTGAGTGGGAGGGTCATCTGATAGACAGTCAGTGTGTTCTGTGGCGTTTACTGTATTTTTTTTTAATTTCGTCAAGTCAGTGGTGTTGCGATTTATAGAAGTTTGACGGGTGTAGCCGATAGTGTACCAACAGAATTAACTGTTAAGTGGCGTAAGGGAACACAGGATTCAGAAGCAAGCGATATTTTTACGGTTGAAGTAATTTTTAATGGAGAGTCAAGATTTAGTCTAGCATCCGTGTGTATTCATCCAGCTGTTAATTCAGGAGATTAGATGTTCTTGTTAGTGCATTCAAGAAATATCCTAAGACTTCATTATCAGTTTAATGAAGAGTTTACTATAGGTACAGATACAATTGTTATGATGGGAAATTTCAATATAGATGTCAAACGAAACGAAAAGGCATTTATGAAACACCTTTTAACCCTTTCCGGCACGCTACCTTTTAAAGTCGAAGTTTTGAGGATTTAAAAAAAAAAAAAAAAAAAAAAAAATAGGTAGGCAGTCTAATTAGGCCGAGAGGAGTACACAAGTAAAATTTTGTGAAGAAAGCACTTATCGTTTTAATTCTGTGGAAGTGACATGCTGATTGAATACAGCTTCGAAAAGAGTGCCGAAACGAGCATTGTTGTCAATGAACTGACCGATGAGATGCGGAGAAACAAAGAATACAGACTCTCAGTTGTCCTAGATTATCGGTGAGCCCGGTCTGGGCACACCTGGGGTTCGGCGTTTGATTTTAGGCAAGATTTCAAGGTAAAAATTTAAAACTAATATAGAATAAGGAGATTAGCATACAGCCAATAAAATAAAATAGAAATTTCTTTTCAAACAATTCCTTTTATATACTAAAAAAAAAAAAAATCTGGACGATTTCTTTGAAAAAAGAGGGTCTTAAAAAACTAAACATGGCTCAAAGATATGGACTGGTTTGTGTTGAGCTGCCATCTACTATAAATAAAGAAGGTTCAGAGTAACCTATAAATCCTTTTTCATTCAATTTTTTCTGTGCGTACAGAAGAAAATTTTTAGGTGTGTCCAGACCGGACACACTGTGCCGCAAAGGGTTAATCTGAGTATGGTACCAAGTAATTACCAAGCACACTTGGCAATTCAATTACAGATAAACAATTTTCTAGGAATGTAATCCTAGGGAGACATCTTAAATTATGTATCTTATTTCTGATATCATCGACCAGCTTTACATAGGGTCATTCTGAATAAATAAACGTAGTAAAAAATTAAAAAAAAAAAAAAAAAAAAAAAAACCTGAAAGATTTCAGATTTTATATCACACCCAAAGGGGCGTTTTATAACGTTTTCTGTATTACCTTTATTTATTAAATATCATGTTCTTCGCACTTAAACCATAAAATTCAATTCAACAGTAATATCGCAAAGTAATTTTAAAATGAGCCTATCTTTAGAATTTCCGATACACAGTCTCGCGCGCTGGATATTATATATATTATATATATATATTGTGTGTGTGTGTACAGTGTTGTGTTGCCATTGCTCGCTTTGAAATCGTTGAGTTTGTTAATAAAAATTTAAGTGTTGCAAAATATAAAATTGATAATAAAACAAATTTCAGATTCCAAATTAGGGCTTCCAGATGCCCGTATTCGGTAGAAAATTACGTTATTCAAAATTGGATGGCTCTAGGTACCGTTGTTGTATCACAATGCGAGAAACATAGACATGTTTATGCAGATTCTTCATTATTTAACTTCTTTAAATTTAATACAGGGCTCTAATATTTGGTGGCAACAATTTTAAAAGTTAATCAACGTTTAAAGTGAATCAACACAAAATGCCAAAACGAAATTAATAGTCCTTCTGGGCAAATTTCCCCTTTGGATTAAAAATAAAATATATATGTATGTAACAGTTTTATTTATTGTGTAACATCCTCACACTTCCGTTAATAATCCTATGCATCAAACACCAGCGGCTCTGTAATCTAAAAGAGAGAGCTCGTCGTCAATATTTTGCTTAGCAAGATGATAGTATTAGCAAACGTATATCAACATGAATAGGAAAACAGTCATTCTGTTAAGAAATAAGAAACATATATTAGAAATCAGCAGAGATTTATTTACAAGATATTCAACACAACTTCTCTAAATAAATTATGACATTTATGCTACTTCATATCTCGGCACTGTTCATTGTTCCTTTGGTGAAGTGCATATGATCTTCGGGGAATAAACCTTTTACGTTTCTTGCTCTTCTTTACTAGAAAGTTCGAGCCAGTGATCTCAAAACTTCTTTGGAAATTTCGTCTAAGAAAGAAAAATGAAACACACATATTAAGTCAGTGGTTTAAATAAAAAAAAAAAAAAATCTGAAATGTTTCAGATTTTAAATTACGTCCAAAGGGGCGTTTTTTAACATTTTGTATGTTACCTTTCTTTATTAAATATCATTTTCCTCGCACTTAAACCATAAGATCCAGTGCAACAGCAAAATCGCAAATAGTTTTAAAACGAGCATATCTTTAGAATTTCCGATACAGAGACTCACGCGCTGGAGATAAAAATGTTTTTTCTGCACAACGTTGCCATTGCTCGCTTTGAAATCCTTGAGTTTGTTAATCAAAAATTCGTCAAAGTTTTAAAAAATAGGAAATCGATCATAAAACAAATTTCAAATTTCAAATTTGGTCTTCCACATGCTCATATTCGTTGGAGGATTACGTTATTCAAAATTCGATGACTCTATGTACCGTTGTTTTATCACAATACGAGAAATATACATACATTTATGCAGATTTTTCATTATTTAATTTCTTCAAATATAATGCAGGACTCTAACATTTTGTGGCAACAGTTTGAAAAGTGAACCGACATTTATGAGTCCGACGCAAAATGCCAAAACGAAACTAACAGTCCTTCGGGATTCAAATCCCTTTGGACTAAAAAGAAAGGGGGGGAAAGAGAAAAAAATCAAAAGTAAGAAATCGGAAGTATTGAAAAGTCGAGTAAATTGGGTAAGAAACCGACACGAAAGCAAATTGTAAAACTTCCGAAACACTACTTACCTATACAAGGATATATGTCCTTAATTAAATATATCTACTAACGTGGCTTTGAATTAAAAAAAAGTTATTGAAATAGTTATCAGTTTTTAATATTAAAATTTAAAAACCTAACTTATCAGGAAATTTTACCTAAATTAAACTCTCAGTTGCTGCAGTACAAGCAATAGTCAGGGTAGAATCGCCTGAAGAACTACTCGTAGCCCGGTATCAAGGGATTGTTTTATAATGCAGGAAGCGGGAAAGAAAAAGAAAGAAGCAAACGTTTGTAGCTTAAGTATTTCGAATAAATTAATGAGCACAGTACTTAGGTAAAGTACGGAAAACATTTATTTTGAACTATTATCCGTACTTGAACCGACCAAATCAAATAATTCCCTCATCAACTAGGTAATGAGAACATTGTGACCATTAATGGTTCTAGATAAAGTACGAAAAACTCGGTTAATCTTCAGATTATGGTAACTTGGCGATTTTTTGGCGAAAATTTGGCGACCAACCCTGCTACAGCAACCTGCTAGTTTTTTTTTTTTTTTTTTTTTTTGGACGCCATTTTGTTTTCACGAAGTAAAGGCATATTTTTTTTTACTCAACATTTTTTTCCAACAATCTGCTTGGCGAATTACGCCTATGCTAGAACTTTTATGGAACAAAAGTGCTTAGTCATGACGAAGATTAGGTACGAAATTGGGAGAAAGTGCAGAATCACCTACTGCTTCCCGCGTTTTTAAGAATTGCACATACAACACCGTATCCATGTACACGTCGACCTATTTTCACTTTAAAAAAATCATCTCAGAATTGTACAAAAAATGGCATTGCGCACACTGTTGACTTTATCCATGTGCACTGCTAAAGTCCTAGCTAGTAACCTTTATCGCCTTACCAAAATGTCGCCAAACTACCTATTACCATATTCCAAAGATTAGACAAAAACTCTTATTTTGTAGATGATTTCGCCCTCGAACTGAGCAAATCAAGTAATCCCCTCATCAATTAGATAATGTGCACATCAATATTTTACCAAGATATAGCGCGGAAAATTCTTATTTTGTAGATTATTCCGCATTAATCACGTACTCTACTCAACAGCAAGATATTGTGACCATTAATGGTTCTAGATAAAGTGCGAAAAACTCTTCTTTTTGTAGATGATTCCTAATTTTAACAAACCAGATCGGGTAATCTGCTCATCAACAAGATAATGAGAACATATGACCTTTAATGATTCTAGGTAAAGTACGAAAAAAATCTTATTTTGTAGATGATTTCGCACTCGAACCAACCGAATCGGGTAATCCCTTCATCAGCTAGATTATGTGAACATTGATGAATTACCAAGATAAAGCGCGGAAAATTCTTATTTTGTAGATTACTCCGCACTTCAATAGACCAAAACCATATACTCTGCTCATCAACTAGATAATGAAAATATGTGACCATTAATGGTTCTACACAAAGCGCAGAAAATTCTTATTTTGTAGATTATTCCGCATTAATCGTGTACTCTACTCATCAGCTAGATATTGTGAACATTAATGGTTCTAGAAAGAGTGCGAAAAGCTCTTGTTTCTGTATATGATTCCTAATTTTAACAAACCAGATCGGGTAATCTGCTCATCAACAAGATAATGAAAACATATGACCATTAATGATTCTAGATAAAGTACAAAAAAACTATTTTGTAGATGATTTCGCACTCGAACCAACAGAATCGGGTAATCCCTTTATCAGCTAGATTATGTGAACACTGATGAATTACAAAGATAAAGCGAGGAAAATTCTTATTTTGTAGATTACTCCGCACTTCAGTGGACCAAAACCATAAAGTACTCTGTTCATCAGCTAGATATTGTGAACATTAATGGGTCTAGATAAAGTGCGAAAAACTATTATTTTTATAGATAATTCCTCATTTTAAGAAACCAAACCAACCAATGAATTACCAAGATAAAGCACGGAAAATTCTTATTTTGTAGATTATTCCGCACTTCAGTGGACCAAAACCATATACTTTGCTCATCAGCTAGATGCGACCATTAATGGTTCTACACAAACCGCGAAAAATTCTTATTTTGTAGATTCCTCTGCACTTCAGTAGACCAAAATAAGGTACTCTGTTCAACAGCTAGATATTGTGAACATTAATGGGTCTAGATAAAGTGCGAAAGACTATTATTTTTGTAGATGTTTCCTCATTTTAACAAACCAAATCAGGTAATCATCTCATGAACTAGAATAAAGTAAACATTAACGGTTTTCCAACTTTAAGAGTAATAGTTAAATATATAATTAAACCTACTTGATAATGACATCAGGATGATCCATTTGCAAACACATTTTGAAAGGGCTTTCGTAGAACTCCAAGTCAGTCTTAAATTCAATAGCTGATTGCCCCATAAAGTTAAACGCCCCTTGCGTTGTGGCGATGTCGGAATCCACGGTAGCAACACCAACCATCAATAAGGCAGCGCTGAAATAATTTTTTTGAATTAAACATAAAAATCATAAAAGCATTTCTATATGCATATTAAAATTATTTCAGATATGATGATGTAAATTCGGTATATGAAATATGTGATTGGAAACATTAATAATGTACAGATATCCTTCTGAAAATAAAAGTAATTGTACTTTGGCAGCTAACACCGAATTGAACAAAATGTATGGCAATCTACAGAGCATGCAAAATTAGAGAGTACTGTTCAAAATTGCCACATAATTGTTAACTAAAAATTATGTAAATTTATAGCAACCAGAAATCACTGATGTTGTTATCAATAAGTCGAAGACTTTTAGTAGCATATAAATTTAACTTAGATGTTTCACTACTCTTCGTAAGTTGTGGTTTTCATTTATAAAATTTGTAAAGATATATTCAACAGTCACCAATAGTATTCTTAGTAATTGCGCAAGAATTGTTTTCATGAAAAGTAATTACTATGCTTGTAAAATTTTAAATTTTTAATGGCAAAATAGATGATCAACTATTGTTTCATTATTGTCTATTAAATGATTTAAATAGAAGTTCCAATCCAAATTCGAGTCCGGCAAGAGCAATGCACATTTATCTCTTCTCCTGCTACAAAAATAACCAATTTCTCTAGAAAATAATTTTTAGAAATAACAGAACTTCAAAGTCTTTTATATTAACTATAAACTAACGCTATCGAAAAACAGACTGCTAGAGGGAAAAAAATTGCTGTAAAGAAACTTCTGTGGTTTTTCGAATTACTTTGTTACTTTCATAGCGCGTTGCCGAGTATTTGAAGTTACCATAAAATAATCTTCTACAACTATTATTTTGTTTAGAAGCTGCACATTTCAGGTAAACATTTTCGTTACTCTAAATATGTCTTGATTCTCATTCAAATTTCTCTTAAATAACTTTTAAGCATCCGTTATGGAATATCACTTTTCCCTTTAAAAGAAGAACAAATTAAGTATATCTGAAAAATATTAGTAAAGACATATAGAAGATTTCATACTCGACAGAGATAACCACATTTTTCCTCTGAAAAGAAATACGAATTCATAATTCTCAAGAAAAGTAATTGTACATTACGCATTTTTGACTTGTGATTGAGAGTTTCTATTCCAAAGGGAAATCTGTATAGAAGCAGATAAATCCACTGACAGCACGCCTCTCAGTTCCAGTCGAACTATCATTCCATTGTTGAGAACAACAAGATTTTTGTCATCGCTTAATGCAAAAATACCCTGAAAGAATACATTAAAAATATAAATAAAACATATAATTTTGCATTTAATGTTGCATAAATACATAAATGTATTACACTCCAGTTATCGAATGATCTTAATTTATAAGGTATTTCTCCCGCCTTCTTACCATGCCTTCGTGGTGCAGTGGTCTGTACGCTCGGCGCGTATTCGAGAGGTCCATGGCTCGATTCCCGGAGAGGGCGTAGCTCTTTTTTCATCACTCCTGATTTAAAAATAACCTATTGACTCTACAGTGGCGCTCGAATTAAAAGGTTGGTGGATGATGATTCTCCACACCCAGGATTTGGCGATTGGGTGTGGCCTTTAAAAGGGTCTAAACCCAGTCGCCCTTTAAAAGGGGGAGTATCTAAAGTATTTCTCTCGCCTTCTTAGCATGCCTTCGTAGTGAAGTGGTCTGCAAACTGGGCGCGTATTCCAAAGGTCCGTGGTTCGATTTCTGGCGAAGGCGTTGCTTATTTTTCATCTCTCCTGCTTCCAAAATAATACCTAATGTCTCTACAAATTAATCTTAATTTTGGCCTTCTTCTTTGAATAATTTCGGCGTTCATCTTTCACATTTTGAAGAACATGCCCGCAAATGTTCTTACCCAGTCTTAATTTTCGCAGGTATAGTATTGTTACAAATTTTGTATCTATGTAATTTTAGTGAAACTATATGTAAATTGTAGTATTTCTTGTATAATGTAACATGAAAGTCCTTAGGATGAGAAGTATCACTGGAAGAATACAGTTACATGGCTAAGCCCATTTAACATTGAGGTAAATCGCTAGCTTATCAATTTGACGAGGTAGCACCAAGCTGGCAATGCTTTTGACGACTGCATTTTGTCACCAAATTTGGCAAGAAATCGCCAAAAGTCGAGAAACTTGGCGAGTATTTGGCGTCATTTTGATAAGAACGTTGAAATTTTGTATATGGTACTGTTATAACATGTAGATCTCCCCTTTTTCGTTGCAATCGGCCGCACCAAACGTTTACATACATTATTATATATATAATATGTATTCCCACTCTATTACCCGACTTGATGAGCTAAGTACTTTTATTCTCATATATTGATAAATTGGGCATTTTTTGCTTTAAGAGTAGTTGAATTATGTTATATGTTTCAGTTAAGGTTTTTATGCCTTTAGTTAATCTGCATACAATAGTTGTAGAATTATCAAAAATTTAAATTTCTCTACGAGATTTGAAATCCCATTTTTAAAATCGCTCAATTATTCCCCAATGGGACTTTTAAGGCCCCATTTGAAATTAAAAAAGAGCAGTGAAAAACTTATCATATTTTTGAAAGTTTAATGTGAGATGTGTCTCATGCATGAAGAAATGTGATAAAATGTTACAAAAATCTTCTTCAAAAAATAAAATAATTTCGGACATAAAGGGTTAAATGGCACTACGCCTAATGACAATGCCATCTGTTCACATTTCAATCTCCTAGTATAATGGATGGTGAATTAAGTCAGTTGAAACACCAACTTCAGAGTCTTTCTGCACAGTGGGATCAAAAGTTAACTTTCAATTTTGCGCACTAAAGGCCTTCCTGCCCGTTGGCCGAATTGCTCATTTTCCCGTAGAAATCTCTAATTATAATTGCAAATTTTTTTTCTTTAATTGTTTTTAACTTGATAACTTACTTATTTGATGTTTTAAGTTTTTCTGTATTTCACAATTATTAATGAAGATGTTTTGTGTTTTTATGCATTTTTACTTTGCTTTCACGATGTGATAACCGAATTGATTGAATGAAAAATATGCAAGCTTATGAAATTCGTGGAAATAACTAAAGTGCAGCAAAAAATGCGTATAATTTAATAAGCCGTACAAGGAAGTCATGTGGTGTCCACGTCAGGATTTTTTTTTAATTGTTACTAGTCAATAAAAAGCATACAGGCAATTAGAGCATACTGAAAAAGTGGTATAAGAATAATGAAATGGCTGTAATCTGAATATATTTCTAACCTGAAGAGCTGGTGTTGGTTCACTGGCAGTTCCTGACCAAGCATGACCCATCAATTCTGACGTACTGCTGAAAAAGACATACGGCCTTAGGGAAGATTCTAGAAAAGTTAACTCCATGCCAGCAGTTGGATCGACTCCCTCTTCTCCTGAAGAGTCCCCAGCGATAGAAGACAAACCTTCGGCAAACATCCCAACCTAAAATAACAGTTGCTATGAATTAATACTAACATAAGATTTAATTCCAGCTTTATAAAATTACTGCGATTATCTTTATCACAAAAGTAATTACTTCCTAAAAAGTATTTGGAAATCTTCAGCATGCCACAATTTATTTTATTTTTAGTCCAAAGGGGCTTTGTCACCGAGGGGCTATTGTTTTCGTTTTGCGATTTTGCGTCGAAACACTCTGAATGTCCGTTTCACTCTTCAAGCTGTTACCACCGAATAGTATCGCCTTGTATTATATTTGAAAAAATTAAAAAATGAAGAAACTGCATGAATGCATGTATGTTTCTCGCATTGTGATAAAACAACGGTACCTTAGAGCCATCGAATGTTGAATGACGTAATCTTACTGCGAATATGGGCATCTGAAAGCCCAAATTTTAAATTTGGAATTTCCTTTATTATCGATTTCATAGTTTGTAAAACTTTAAAGACTTTTTGATTAACAAGCTCAAGGATTTCAAAGCGAGCAATGGCAACATTGTACAGAAACTCCAGCGCGCGAGACTGTGTATCGGAAATTCTAAAAATAAGCTCAATTTGAAATTATTTTGTATGAATTTTATGGTTTAAGTACAAAGAACGTTATATTTAATAAATAAAGGTAGCACACAAAATGTTAAAAAAAATCGCCCCTTTGGACATAATTTAAAATCTGAAACCTTTGAGATTTTCTTTTTTTTTAAATAATTGGTTTTTATTTTGCATTTTGTCTATCACTTCAGACACTGTCACGCAGTTCGCTGGGTAGATTTTTTTTAGAACAGCGTAGGGATATAAGCATGTTATCTAGAACCAAAGAATTGTCTGATGTTTGAACTTGCCTACTGTCGGAAGAACATCAGTCTGAGTCTGGACCTAAGCGTGGAGGAGCAAGCTGGAGAATGGAGCCGCAAGAAGTTAGCAGCTGGTGATTATTGATGTTTAAAATCCTGGACAGTGTAGCTGATTTTAGAGCAGTCCTGTCCAACACGGTAAACTGCGATTGGAGGCTTAGCTCGTTAAAAAAAGTTAAAAATAGAATTTTGGCTTGTCTTGCACTAAGACTGAAGTGTGAATTTTAGCATAGTCAAGTGGACTATTATTAACCCAATCGGGGTAAGCCTGAAAGGACTATTCGTTTCGAAACGGCATTTTGCGTGGTCCACTAAAAACAGTGAATCACTTTTTAAAGTGTTGCCACCAAATATTACCCCCTGTATTATTTTTAAAGAAATTAAATAATGAAGAATCTGCATGACTCTACGTATGTATGTTCTTCGCATTCTGAAAAAAATGACTGTACCTAAGGCCATCAAGTTTTGAATTACGTAGTTCTCCTCCCTGATGTGTGCACCTGAAAGCCCAATTTTGAGTTTCGAATTTTATATTTCTAGTTTGTAAAACTGAATGAACTTTCGATAAACAAACTCAATGATTTGAAAGCAAAAAGTGGCAACACGTTGCGGAATGAAGCATATTTATCCCCAACGCGCAAGACTGTCTATCGGATTTTCCATAAGTATGCTGTTTTTAAATATCTTGTTACTTTGCTTTGAATTGAAGTTATTGTGGTGTAAGTTAGAAGAATATGATATTTAATAAATAAAGTTAACACACAAAATGTTAATAATAAAAAGACAGAAAAAAACGTTTTGCAAGCCTTCTTACTAAGCAAACTGAACATCGATACAATGAAGTGTGAAAAGACTGAAAAACAGTAGAAAAATGTATGTCAAAATTAACGCTGCTACTTTTAAAAGTTTTATACTTTTACTGCTGAACTGTATATGGCAATGAAAAAAAATGATGAATTCTTTATTAGAAGAAAATGATGCTTAATATTAAAGCTAAATAGACCAAAAGAGAGACTGTTAATGAGAATGAGTGTAACAACAGACCAGTAGACTTTATCCTTTTTATCTGCATTTTTTATATTAACTCTCAAGTAGATATTCAATTAACTTTTAAGTTAAACGTTAAAGCTCTTGTATGCCGGAACCTAGAAATATCAGTTCCATTACGATAACTCGTGAATTAGAACCCACAGAGCTAGCTGTAGTGTTTCCAACAACCCGAACACTCTCAAAGCTAACAAAGGTATCATAAAACATCTGAACATAAAACAAAAAGAACCGAAAAACATTGAAAAATTACTATAGTTTGCTTTTCACGAATTATGAGAACCAGTCTTCTGTAGTTTCTTAACTCAAGTTCTCATTTCTCTTTAATAAAATAAGAAAGAAAGAAATAAAAAAGGAAAAATAAATAAGAATAAAAAATAAAAAAAAATAAAAAATAAATAAATAAATAAAATAAAATTAATCTGAAGCTATTAGATTTTACTTTACGCCCAGAAGGTATTTTTTAATGTATTGTGTGTTACCTCTATTTATCAAATATCATGTTCTTCGCATTTAAACCATAAAGTTCAGTTCAACACCAATATCGCAAAATAATTTTAAAATGAGCTTATCTTTAGAATTTTCGATACACAGTCTCGCGCGCTGGAGATAAAAATGTTTTTTTTTTTTTTTCGTACAGTGTTGCCATTGCTCGCTTTGAAATCGTTGAGTTTGTTAATCAAAAATTCGTTAAAAGTGTTACAAAATATGAAATCGATAATGAAACGAATTCCAAATTAGGGCTTCCCAGATGCCCATATTCGTTGGAGGATTGCGTTATTCAAAATTAGATGGCTCTAGGTACCGTTGTTTTATCACAGTGCGAGAAATATACATTTATGCAGATTCTTCATTATTTAATTTCTTTAAAAATAAGACAGGGCGATAATATTTGGTGGCAACAATTTGAAAAGTGATTCGCCTTTTATAGTGAATCGACGCAAAATGCCAAAACAAAATTAATAGCCCTTCTGGGCTAACGTCCTTTGAGTTAATGAGAATAAAATAAGAAATGAAATACTATCGACATGAAATTAGGTTAATTTAAGGATCTAAGACAATACATATGACGATTATTGACGAGTAAATATATTTAATTTTACAAATGTCAGACATTTGGTCACTAAGCCTTGGTCTTGCTTTCCAATGCAACAGAATAATACAATAGAATAGAATTAAAGGATAATAGGGCAGTGCATTCACCAATATTGACCTTATCTAGAGTTACAAAGATTACAGACTGAAGAGGCCTTAAGCCGAATTTAAAAAAGATAGGCATTTAGGCAGTCTTGCCCATTCAAAAGAGGAAATAACGCTAATTCTTTAAGATATACGATATTTGTCTTCCATTTTCATCATCGTCGGTGTAGAATGGTGCGACACCAGGATGCCGGTGCCAGAGGCACTGTGCCTGTCAAACTGTCGTTACGAATTATCTGTCAAAAGAATGTTCATCAAATCTGCAAAATATCCAAAGGAATATTCTCAAACAACTTTTGAGGAAAGTAGGCACAGACACATAATTGAATAATACATAATTTAACTTTTAGTCTTAGTCAATGCATTCCGTTATTTAAAGGCAATATGTTGCCACTGTCTAAAACGAAATACTATTATCTTATACGAGCGAAAATTTGAAATTGAAGTTCCACTTTGAAATGGTCATAAAAGGAAATCTACTGAACCAAATGTTATCAAACTTGGTAATCGTGGAAAGGAGGTAATCGGAATTTATTTTCCGCGAAAGAAGAAAAGTTCAAAAACTCACCACCAGGGAGGGAATGGTGCTGTATGCAATATTGTTAAACGAAATAAGACATGAAGACATCGGTTTAAAATGTGTTCAATCCTTTCTGAAACGTGTTACAAAGCATGTTGAATGTGGCATCCACCATTTTCCGAAAGCAAGTTAAATCCTGTTACTGCATTCTCAACAGCAGCTCTTAACATATCAGGAGGAATGTTACGGACATGTCGGTGTATCGCATTTTTTAATTCCGCCAAATTGTTTAGATTATTTGCATAAATCATTTGCTTCTTCTTGACTTAAGACAAATACAAACCATTGCGATTTTGCATAACCCCACAAAAACGTTCGTTTTATAAACAATTAGAAACGTTTCAAACCGATATCTTCATGTCTTAGCGCCTAATTCAGGCTTTAAAAATCACAAATTGGTGATCTGTAAGAAAACGATTTCCGGAATGCGCACAGTTTTGCGATCTCGCATTTTCTAATCGCTATTTTGTGGTTTACATAGACGGATCTCTCCGTTACACTGATGGCGCACTCGACATTTATCGCCTTTAAAGCCTTAAAATGATAATTCTGTATAGGTCAACGTTTCTTAAGGGTATACAATATGTTAAACCCGTATAAAAAAAAGGTGTAGTTAGATTCCGACCTTATTTCGTTTAATAAAATGACATACAGCGCCATTTATCTCCTGGTGGTACGTTTTTAGTACAAAGGGACTTTGTCCATGAAGGACTATTGTTTTCGTTTTGCGATTTTGCGTTGAATCACTATAAATGTCCTTTTCACTTTTCAAACTGTTGCCACCCAATGTTAGAGTCCTGCATTATATTTGAAGAAATTAAATAAGGAAAAATCTGCATAAATGTATGCATATTTCTCGCATTGTGATAAACAACGGTACCATCGAATTTTGAATGACGTAATCCTACGGCGAATATGGGCATGTGGAAACCCAAATTTGAAATTTGGAATTTGTTTTTTATCGATTTCCTATTTTGTAAAACTTTAACGAATTTTTGAGTAACAAACTCAATGATTTGAAAGCGAGCAATGGCAACAATCTAAGGGGAAAAGAAAACAAAAACCTTTTTATCTCCAGCGCGCGGAACTGTGTATCTGAAATTCTAAAGATAGGCTCATCTTAAAAGGGGTGTTGGAACCCCAAAATCTTCAAAAAATTGTGATTTCGGATTTTTGCATTTTCAAATTATCTTCACTTTTATCTTTCTAAAAATACCATTCTTTAATCTCTATGAAAATTAGAACTGTAAAAAAATCTAGTATTAATTTGTCATCTACTGCTTTGATCAATGAGGATTTTTACATAAAAACGCTTTTTTCTCCAAACGTGATTTTTTTTATACTCGATGTACCTTTTCTCAGGAACTATGCTCGCAGGTTATCTAAACTTTTTTGGCTATTTATAGGTTTCCTAATATTTACTGAAATGAGCTTTTTGTAATAAATTTAGAAAAAAAAAAATTTAAATTTTTTTTGCGTGAGAAAAGTGCTAAATTTTACTATAAACATTTTGAATTTTAGAGTAAATTACAGAATTAATTTAATTTAAACATTTTGAATTTTAGAGTAAATTACAGAATTAATTTGTTACTATGCCTAACAAAATATTCTGTAATTTACTCTAAAATTCAAAATGTTTCAAAAGCTCATTTGAGTATAATCAGATAGGTATACTTTAATTACAGAAAAAATTTCAAGCTTGTATCTACAGCAGATTTTGAGAAAAGGTACATCGAAAATGGCCAATTTAACATTGTCGGTATAGGGGTTTCTGATACCCCTTTAAAATTATTTTGCGACATTGCTACTGAACTGAAATTTATGGTTTAAGTGCAAAGAACAGGATATTTAATAAATAAAGGTAACACACAAAATGTTAAAAAAACGCCCCTTTGGACGTAATTTAAAATCTGAAACCTTTCATGTTTTTTTTAAACTTTTTTTTTCGTGAAAAATAAATTCCCATGACCTCCTTTACACGACTACCGAGTTTGATAACATTTGGTCCAGTAGTTTTCTAGAAGCAAAAAAATACTTTTTAAAATCTTTAATCTGATTCATTTAAATCATGTAATGTCTAATTATAAATATTAAATATTTTTATGTAATTATATTAGCTAGAATCATTAAAATGACCATAAATTTTTAGTTCAAAGGGGCAATTTGCCCAGAAGAACTATTAATTTCGTTTTGCATTTTGCGCTGGAAACTATAAACGGCGAATCACTTTTCAAATTGTTGCCGCCAAATATTATCGCCCTGTATTACATTTAAAGAAATTAAATAAGGAAGAATTTGAATGAATGTATGTATGTTTCTCGCATTGTGATAAAACAACGGTACCTAGAGCCATCAAAATTTGAATAACGTAATCTTCCATAGAATATGGGCATGTGGAAGCCCTAGTTTTGAAATTTGTTTTATTATCGATTTTATATTTTGTAGCACTTCAACGAATTTTTTATTAACAAACTAAATGATTTCAAAGCGAGCAATGGCAACACTGTACCAAAAAAAAAAAAAATATTTTTGTCTCCAGGGCGAGAGACTGTGTATCAGAAATTCTAAAGATATGCTCATTTTAAAATTATTTTGCGATATTGCTGTTGAAATGAATTTTATGGTTTGAGTACTTAGAACATGATATTTAATAAATAAAAGTGACATACAGTCAAAAGTCTTTAATCCGGACTCGTCGGGACTTCGGCGATTTCGGATTATCGATTTTTCCAGATTATAGATCATTAGTTTAAATCTGGTAAGATGGCATGCAGAAATTATAAAATTAAAAATATGAAACCGTAATTTATAAAATAATGAGCAATTATGATCTAAAGGGTATCAAAATTTACAAAAAAAGAAGCTTAATATTTATTTGTTTACTTTATTAAACATTTCTTTCAACGCGCGCATGCGTGAAGCATACCTTACGCATAGCCGAAATTAGAAAATTGCAACCAGAAAACTATTTGATTTGTATTCGTGATATTTATAATGACGAGGAATTTGATTTAAATCATATCAAAGACGGAGTACATCGAGATTAAATACTACATTTAGTAAGGAATTATAAGCCGAATAAAATAAAAACATCTGCCCTGAAGATAACGATAGTGCTGACAGATTAACTTCCAGTTCATTGCGCGCCACAACGTCCCCCCCCCCCCGCGCAGAGCAGCGTGAAATTGATAAGCAGATTTCGGAACGGTTAGATAAACAAAGGATATGGCTTTATCTATTTTTTGTAGCAATTCGTTTTTTGTTTGATGGACATCGAAACATACTTTCTTTACCTTTGGGAGCTCCAGCATCGGAAATTCTATTTGACATAATCGAAAGTTCAAGCTTACTTTTATGAAATTGCTCTTACAGTCTGCAAAAAATAATAAGCCGGATCCAATTCGAAGATTAAGGAACAACGCAATCATCAACATTAACTGAAATAGATAATTAGAGCTTATACCGTCCGTTATACATTAAACGCGCACGCGAAAAGTATTCTGCGCTTGCTCAAACGCATATGCGCAGTCGTAAATGCCTTGCGCGCACGCATAAAACGCCTATGCGCATGCGCAGAAAGATTTTAGCTTTGAGGTCCGGATTATAGATCATTCCGGATTATGGGTGTCCGAATTAACGACTTTTGACTGTACAAAACATTAGAAAGACGCCCCTTTAGACGTAATTTAAAATCTGAAACCTTTCAGATTGTATTTTACTTTTTCTCTTTTTATAATTATCATTTTTAGGTCGCTGTCGTTGGTAATAAAAATTAATAAAACTAAAATATCACAATTCTGTAATTCGGAAGTGGTTATTATTTAAAGAAATTAATTAGTTTATTTACGGAAAGCAGGTTGGATATTCCCACTGAAGTTTCAAAATCCACGTCGAAGGAGCTCCTCTTCAATAATCCTCCGTCTAGCATTTCCATTTCTATTCCGTATGTTACATTTATTCCATCAGCAGCTGGAATGAAAAGCATAGGCTAGAATAACGCATACTAATTTTATCCTTCCTTTAATGTGAAATACCTCAAGTTACATACTCAGTATTTATAGTCAATGAAAAGAAGTTCACAGACTCAGTCATCAGATACTGAGTTATTCACAAACCAGTGAAATGTTTTTAAAAAGCATAATACAAATTTTATGCAACCAATAACAGATTTTACTGTGCTGAAAAGTTGCAAACTGATTAAGTTATTTTTTTTAATATTTCACGCATGCTCACAGCGTCCACTTTTTGTGGCACGGGAGACAATATCTTGTCATTAACCTTTTTAATTGTCATGCCCGAGATAATCTCGGGCACAGCACTGGTGTTCGAAAATGTCACGCCCGAGTATTTCTCGGGGTAATTTTTTTTTGAGTGCATCGTATTGTTATACCCGAATATATATCGGGAGACGTTTATTTCGGCTTCATCTCTTTGTCAAACCCGACTATATCTCGGGAAAAGTTAATGTGCACTCAATTCAATAGATGACAGCCTTTACTGAAGATTTCAAGGTTAGAGGTTATAAGTTCTTTGGTTCAAAGTGCACGGGGATCTTTGGTTGTAAATGGCGTCCAGTTCTTTGAAGCGTTATATAGATGATTTAGATTCTTCAACCAAAGATGAAGGCTGTGTGTTTGATGAGCAGTATTCATGATACTTCCATGGTCAGCCTCAAAAATAAAAAAAATGAAGATATACTCAAGCCGAAGATTGTTAACTATGGGTGGTGTAGATCGCTGTGATTAGGAAATATCCTTTCATCCAACAATCCGAAAACGTCAGAAAAATATTTTAAAAAGATATTTTTACATTTACTAGACAAGGTACTCTGGAACTCATATTTGTTCTATAAAAATGTAGTTGGGAAACATATTACATTTTTAGAATTTGGAATCCAAGTTGTATAAAAGCTTTTACATAAATATGATGACGCAGCTTCTGGACAAAAGAATGTTGGCAGACCACCTACAATAGATAACCCTGCCCGTCTTACTGAACGGCATTTTATTTCCCATATTCCTCCTACTCTTGCGAAACATGAGCCTACAAGACATTACAAAGTGTGTTGTTCGAAAAAGGATAACAATGGGAAAAAGATAAGGAAGGAAACACGATTGTAGTGTAGTGATTGTGGAGTTGGTTTGTACTTGGAAAAGTGTTTCCAGTTGTACCACACAAGATTGAATTACTGAACTATCAATAGGTATTCACTTTTATTTTTTTTTCATTTGTTTATTTTTTAGAAAATAATTTTTTTCATTTTTAGAAAATAATGCTCCACTAGAAGCGAACTTTACAACTGCCATGTTGAGTGGCAGCCGCCTCTAGCAAATACGCAGTGGCTACAAGACATTAGAAATTTTACCCATGTACTTCAAAATATAAATTTTTAACTACTTAAGTATATTTTATTTTGTACTAAACATTTTATTTTTCCAATAAAAAAATTTGACAATTTGTGTGCCCAAATCAACAAAATAACTTGACAGTTAAAGGGTTAAAAAGGTTTACTTGGACATTCTGGAAACCTGACTGATGCCACAGTTTAAATGAAAACAGAGATAAGAACCTCTTTAAAAAACTAATTGTCGAGATTATGACCACATATATAATTATTTAAACTATAGATTTTCAATCTTTCTCATGTCGAGCACCCCTAAAATATGAGAAAGTTTCTCTGTTCTTGCACGCGGTAAAGTACATTCTAAAAAACAATTCTGATTAGGGCACCACATGTCTTTCTTGTAGGGTCTATTAAACTATATACATCTCTTCTTGCTTCATTTAATTTAAAACATATTTCTTCGAATTATTCTAAATTAATCGATCTTTCACTGTAAGTTAAAAATGACACTAAAAAGTTCAAATTTCGAAATTAAATATTCCGGTGATACGGAAGTCAACATTTTTATAATTTTATTTTTTCATAAGGAGTAAAAAGCTTTCTCAAATATAAATACAGGAATCGGAACACCGCATTAAAAATGTAACCGAAATTTTGTTACTAAGTGAAAACAATTTTTTTTTAAATTTACATTGCTAAAACAAGAATATTTTCGTCATTTAAAACACTTCTGTAGTTGGAAGAATATGACTACGACCAACGATTGCGAAAATAAAGGCCGGGTAAGAATCTTTAAGACGGATAAGCGTTAAGTATATATATAAATCTGTTTGGTACAGTAAATTGCAATTAAAAAAAATCTGATGTGGACACCACATGACTTCCTGGTACGGAATATTAAATTATACGCATTTTTTTCTTGAATTTCATTTAAATTGATTGGATTGAATTAAATCTACTTCGTCGACAGCGCATAAACCACAATAAAATAAATGCACTCTTTAAAATTCACTATATTTGTTTACTATAACGACACTCTGAATGCACAAAATTTATATCATTTGAAGAATTATCTTATCGTTGCCACATGTTCTATTCAAATACTATAATAAACCTAGAACGATGTATGAAAGAAATTAAGCAAAAAAAAAAAAAAAAAAAAAACAGAAACGAAACAGTTTTTCTCAGACGATTTAGTATTTCTCATTCAATTAATTCAGTTCTCACTTTGCAACAAGGCAAAAATACATTAAATGAAGGCGTTATTTTTGTGTTGCGAAACTTAGTCTCTCTAGATTGGCAACAAATCTACAATTCTGCTGTTTCAAATGTAAACAAATATGTTCGCCATGTTATTTAAAACTGAACCGCATTTAAAGAGCTTTTAAATTGTTGATAATTGTACAAATATTGCTTCCAGAATTGCGAAAGGCATAAAACCTTAACCGAAAGATAAAAACAACATAATTCAATCATTTTTAAAGCAAAAAATGTACAATTTACAAACATAAAAGAGTAAAGATACTGAGATCACTGAGCCGGGTAACAGAGTGGATATATATATATATATAAATATATTTATATACGTTTGGTGTGGCCGATTGCAACCAAAATACGAGGTGCACATCTACATGTTATAGCAGTCCTATATATAAAATTTCAACGTTCTGAGGCTACTCTTTTTTGAGTTATGCGAGATACGTACGTACATACGTTCGTACAGACGCCACGAAAAATTCTCTTCAGAATTCATTTTAAAGCAGATTTATAATTTTTTGGAGGAAAGGAGTCTTTTATTCTGTCCTTACGTATAGGTATCACGCAAAAATATCGTTAAATTGCATTCGATAGCGGTCAAAATGGATATTTTCTTTGAAATATGCTGCCTGAAACTTTTCGCGATTACAATACTTCCTTTACTTCGTACAAGGAAGTAAAAAGGAGGTGCACAACCAGATGTTATAGCAACCCCATAAACAAAATTTCAACGTTCTGTGGCTAACCGGTTTTGAGTTATGCGAGATACATACGTACAAATGTCACGAGAATATCCCTTTTCAATGCATTCTACAATTCGTTTGAAAGGGAGAGTCCTTTATTCTGTGCGTACGAAAAAAAAAAAAAAAAATGTCGAAATGGATTCGAGGAAGGTCAAAATGGGTATAACCTTTGAAATATGATACTAGAAATTTTTCGCGATTACAATACTTCCTTCACTTAGTGCAAGGGAGTAAAAATAGTTCTCAAGATTATAGTATCGAATGTATTTGTGATTTTGGGTTACTCGAAATATAAGATGTGCACATCAAATCCACGAGATTTGTCAGAATTGAAAGATGCCATAAAACCGTGAAGTCATACAGATTCTTCCGGCAATGTTTAGCTCGTCATTGTTCCTAACAATCTCACGCATGCGGTGCATTATTATCTGCAAAGGTGAGCACGTTGGAAACTCGTAATTCCAAGAGCAGTTGTTTTCCCTCTCCTTTCTTGTGTTGTCACTGGTTTTTTTATAATGGTCTTCTTAGCAAATGTTTTACGCCGGCAGTTTTCATTATACGTGTACCGTTTTAATGTCATTTATGGTTTTCCAATGCGCTTATGAGTTTGAGGAGGGAAAACGTAAGTGCTACTACTCGACAATTTCGAAATATATTCAGTGTAACCGTCACCGTAGGAGCTGTATTGTTTTATATCATAACAATCTCGAGCGCACGGTTTCAAATAAAAATATCTGAAGTTTCATTTCGATTGGTTGAGCGGATAGGCCGCTTGGGACTCGTATGGTTCATATATAGAGGGGAAGTTTTTTTATGACCACTCTGTACTATATGCAATACCTGTATCAGTTTTCGTTCTTTTCCAGGAATGCAATGGTACGTTTCTAAATATAACTTTTTGCTGTGTCTTCATGAAGTTTCATTCTTTGAAAGACGTTGGGATAAAGAAATGAAATTTCTTCTATAAATATCGGACAAAAAGTTTTTTCTTAATAGTTCTATACAGTCATTAGGATTTTTGAAGTAGGACACACAAAACAATGAACAATGTCCTCTCCGGGACTCTAACCTGGACCTCTCGAATATGCGCCGAGTGTGCTAACCATTACACCCCGAAGGCATGCAGAATGGAGGGAGAAAGTACCTTATACACTCTCCCTTTTAAAGAGCGACCGGGAATTAGGGGACCCAATAGCCAAATCCTGTTGATAAAGAATCATCATCCACCATCTTTTTAGTTCGGGTGCCATTGTAGAGACAATAGGTTAATTTGAAGCAGAAGACATGAAAATGGGCAATGCCCTCGCCGGGATTCGAACCTGGACCTTTCGAACACGCGCCGAGTGTGCTAGCCATTACAGCAGGAAGGCATGCAGAAACGGAAAGGGAGAGAGAAATACCTTATAATGCATTAGGTTGATTTTCTCTTTTTTCCCCGCTGTTCTAATTTTAAATTTCCCACTGTAAGAGAATTCTGTGAAAATCATAAATTCTTTATTGAAACTTTCTTTGCATTGACGGAACTACGTTTGTATATTTTCTTCTCCTCGTTTTCGATCATAAACAGGCATTTTTATTGCAATCATTTAAGTAAACCCCAAAACTTCACCAAGGACTACAATGTATTTCCATGTATCTTCTGCTACATAGTTTCCATACAGGGTTCTGCAAACTGTTCAGCGTTGAGCCACCTGCCTCCCCAAAAGCTGGTGAATATCATGTTTTTAGGTTTTTCAAGTTGTAAATCTTGGTTTTATTATCTTATTTATTATTGCTACAGTATTTAAAGACTTTGCAATTGATTTCTGAGCGGTCGGATTTTCACTTGAAGTAAGAAATAATAAATACTAAAAAATATTTCGTGTTTAAATTATCAAGCAGCAGAAAATAGAGTGTTATCTCCAGTCATGCATTACCCATATTCTACACTCATGACAATAAATTAAGGATAATTCGGAGTCACGCTGAAATCGAACTCTAAAATAAATATATCACCTGTAAAATCACTACACACATCTTCAAGAATCATACGCAAATTTCAGGAAGTAACCAGATGACACCGGTGATACGTCACAGTGACGAGATTGTAAGAGCGTGATATATAAGGAATACAGGCAAAGAAGTAAAATTGTTCGCAGGCGCTTTATAAGCATTTCAGTGCAATAACCGAATAGTTATGACACAAAGGACGCATTTGGATGATTTTTTACGTGGTAGAATTATCGGCCGTCTGGAATGTGGGCGTACCCAATGGAAGTATCAGACGAACTTGGAATTGCCCAGAGTGTCATCTCCAGGCTTTGGCAACGATTTCAAGATGATGGTAATGTGAGTAGACGTTACAGCACAGGTCGCCCCAGAGTTACAACGCCGAATGAGGACCGGTATTTGGCAGTTACTGCCAAAAGAAACAGGCGGAGCACAGTCTCAGAACTGTCTCGTCAGCTCTCTTCCGCCACTGGTACGACAATTTCAAGGCAGACCGGGTACAAACGCTTAGGGCAGATTGGTTTATATACTCGTAGACCTGTCAGATGCGTTCCACTTACTGCAACTCACTATCGCCTGAGGTTAGCCTGGAGTAGAGAGCATGCATTGTGGACACCGCAACAGTGGGCTTGTGTGATGTTTTCCGACGAGTCCAGGTTTAGCTTGCAGTCTGATTCTCGCCGGACTTTCATATGCAGAGATCCAGGTACTCGTTACCACCAAGAAAACATCATTGAACGACACCGTTGCGGTGGTACAGGAGTGCTCGTTTGAAGTGGAATTATTCTGGGTTCCAGAACTGAACTGCATGTTCAAATTGGAACCATGACAAGCCAAATCTATCGGGACGTCCTTCTGGAACAACATGTACGTTTGTTTCGGGGCGCCATAGGCGCACAATTTGTGTTTATGGATGACAACACCCGTCCTCATCGTGCAAACATCGTAAGCAAATGCCTTCAATCGCTTGATATCACCCGTATGGACTGGCCAGCATTCTCACCGGACTTGAATCCAGTGGAGCACGTGTGGGACATGCTTGGCCGACGAGTTGCAGCCCTTCAACCTCCTCCTACATGTCTACCGGAACTTCGGAGAGCATTGCTTTTTGAATGGTGTAATATCCCCCAAGATCAGATCGATAATTTGATACTCAGCATGCCTAGGCGTTGTACGGACTGTATTGCATCGTCTGGGAGATATACAGTGTATTAACAATCATACCAACCATGTAATATTGGTTTTTTGTAAATAGGTTTTTTTTTTATTTTTATTTTTATTTATTTTTTTTTTTTTATTTTTTGTAATTTGCTCCAGGGAGAAAAAATCACTAATTTTTTTAATAATATCAAACATATAGCATCTTTTTTTGCTCTTTACCTTTTGTTTAATAGATAAGCTTTAAAATGAGTCGAATTTGTTTTGCTTCTAACTCTTCCTTTGCCTGATTTTGCATTATCCTTAATTTATGGACATGAATGTATTTTCTCAGTTTTTTTTTTTTTTTTTTTTTTTTTTTTTTTTTTTTTTTATATAAAACTCCTAAATTCTCTTGAACTCAAGTACACTGATATTGGGAGAAAATTTATTGCATTCTTACCTCTTCAATAAAGTCGAAATTCTCACTTATAAATTCCTTGATTCAAGATTTTAAATTGAGATTTACACAACCAATAGCTCAAAATAATTACCATTATGTATCTTCTATTAAATTTAAACACAGAGTTGTACGTGTGCCAGATCTTTCACAGAGTATTCTAGGATTTGCGGTCTCTTTAGCAAACTGAGCCCAATTTTTTCTTCGACTCCGCACTTTCTGAATGACATGGTTAACTCATGAATCACACACTTCCACCGCTTAAATTTTCCTTTTTGTTATTAGCAAAATAAAAGCGGATAAAATTCTTGAAGTTTAATTCAATAAGTAATTAACTCTATTTCTATATTTGTTTATGCATATGGGCATATAAAAAGTTTAAATTGTGTACACCTTGAAAACAAAATATGTGACAGTTTTATATCCCTCGTTCAAGCGGGCCGCTTGACGAAATTTAACTTGCGTTTTTCATGTTTCGCGACTTAGGATATGTATTAGATTTATATATACTCTTCAAATATAGGTATTTTCACACAAAACCGGACTTTTTCGCAAAAGACATACCTATTTTTTTCATATTTCGATTCTACGTTTCAAATTATGCCAAAGTGCCAAGTTTTGGTAAAAATCACACGAGTAGTTAGTTTAGTTTTAGTATCACACGAGTTAGCACATTTTTAAAAAATTAGCTTATTATTCAAAATTTTAGTGCTTCAATGTTTATTGAACTTGATATATATATTTTTAATATCTCCTTTTTATTAAATTTATTTGATTCCTTCTTTCAGAACCCAGTAATTCGCATATATTTTCTAATTTATTTTTTTTTAATTTGTATGTTTTAGTATTTTTAAAAATTTTTCGAAAACATTTTTGAACAATAATCTGTAAAAGTGTTGCCATCATCGTAATTTCTAGGCACATCTGCAAAAATTTAGAGTTTTTATTCAAAATTTTCCAGGATATACCGAATTTGTATAGTAGCACGTTTTGAAATTTGGCACATTTTTTATAAGCGATAATAACACCTAATGTGGTTTATGCACTTTGCTAAAATTATTTGAAAGAATGAATGATGCGCCTTTTTTTCCGTTCATGCACAATGAAGAAAGGGAAAGGAAAATAGGTTACCATAAATTAAGAATTTCGCCAAGTAAATTATTCTTGGCGAAAACTTTAAAAAATTGCGAGATAAATTTTACAATTTCTTGGTAAGTTTTTCGCCAAATTTGACAAAATTTAATATTTAGGCATAATTTGAGTTGCAGAATCGAAATATGTTAAAAAATTGATTTGTCGTCACACAAAGAATTTTGTAATTAAAAATATGCATGTTAAAACAACATTATATATTAATTTAATATATATCTTAAATCGTGCTTTCAAGACATAAGAAGCCTAGTAGAACGGCAGATATAGAACTGTTCCATTATTTTGTGCAAAGTGTATATGAGCAAATATATGTTATGATTGTCTTGTACCAAAATGACAAACTGATTTCTAGTTCTATCTGAATAGTTTTAATAGTTTTTTGACAGAAAATGAAATAAATTTGTCTTCCTACAGAATATTCAAAAATGTTCCAAAACTGAATTATTGTTTCAATACTTTTCCGTAGAATAATATACTGTTTTACTTCTTTACTTTGGGTACTTTTTAAAGAATATGATTTCATAGAATAAAATTAAAAAAAAAAAAAAAAAAAAAAAAAAAAAAAAAACATTTTTATAAGGAGTATCGGATTTTCAGTGTATCCTTATGTAAAATACTATTTAATAAAATATTATTTTAAAATGAACCGCTACTTACAAAGAAGAGGTCGAGTGAAAAGGGACGAAGATCCTTTCTGTGCTAAGGAATAGTAATGAGAAATTTCTTTTTCATTCAAAATCTTCATCACTCGGGATCTATAAAGTAAAACTGATTTTTAAAGGTCATGAGAAAAAATATATTTCGAGTAATTAATATTAAAACTGAAAATGATAAGCATACCTTGGTCTTCACTCGGAATCTTAAACTAAAATTTGCTTATTCAATCTTAGTTTGATTTATTAATCTGTGAGGTTAGTTTTACAAAAAATAAGAAATAACGCAAGCCAGTTTATACAAGTGTTAGAATTGTTTTATATTGCAGCAAAAATTGCAGGCCAGTTAAACATATGGCAAAATTTTCTGTTTTTTGATTTGTGACCAATTTAATAACCAGCCAAATTTCTTGTTAAAGGAGAAAACTACGCAAGTCAATTTGATGAATGGAAAAAAAATGTTAGTTTGTAAGATGTGTTTAGCTGAAAGGATGCAATTTCGACGCAACAAAAGAAAAGTCTGATGTAGACACCATATGACATTTTCGTACGTATATTAAATTACACTGTACGTCTGTTATTTTTCTACACTTCATTTAAATTGGTTTCCTAGGATTATACTAACTTAATTAACCTATTCCTCGCAAGGCAAATTGAAAATGACATAAAAAATTGCAAATTTTGAAATTAAATATCCCTATTAAATTTTATCGTATTTGAGTCAAACTTCTTGTATTTTTATTTTTTCATAACGAGCATAAAATTTTCCAAAGTATAAATATAGGAACCAGGAGATTGCATTAAAAGTCAGATTTCATTATTTTCCCAATTTTGGTTTTACTTCTTTGTACGAAGTAAAAAGGAAGTATTGTAATCGCGAAAAGTTTCAGGCAGGATATTTCAACGAAAATATCTATTTTGACCGCTATCGAATGCAATTTAACGATGTTGTTACGTGATATCTGTACGTAAGGAAAGAATAAAATGCTCTTTTCCTCCAAAAAAAATTATAAAACTGCTTTAAAATGAATTCTGAAGAGAATTTTTCGTGGCGTCTGTACGAACGTACGTACGTACGTACGTACGTATCTCGCATAACTCAAAAACGAGTAGCCTCAGAACGTTGAAATTTCGTATATAGGACTGCTATAACATGCAGATGTGCACCTCGTATTTTGGTTGCAATCGGCCGCACCAAACGTATATAAATATATTTATATATATATACACTCTGTTACCCGGCTCAGTGATCTCAGTTTCTTTACTCTTAGATGTTTGTAAATTGTACAGTTTTTGCTTTAAAAATGATTGAATTATGTTGTTCTTATCTTCCGGTTAAGGATTTTATGCCTTATATTCCGGTTATTTATTTTAAATCTGTGTGCAATATTTTTAGAATTATCAACAATTTTAAAGTTGTTTAAGTGCCGCTAAGCCTAATAATTTTTTTGATGGCGGCCATTGCTTGTTTACATTTGAAACAGCAGGATAGTGGATTTGTTGTCACTCTAGAGAAACTTAGCTTTGCAACAACAAAGATAACGCCTTCATTTATTATTGCCAATTAAATCATGCTTAATTTTTTCGAGGAAATAAGTGTTTAAGATTTACTTCGTAATTTTTAATTCAGTTTGAGTTTTTATGTATTTTTGCCTTGTCGCGAAGTGAGAACTAAATTAATTGAATGAGAAGTACACAATCGTCTGTGAAAAACTGTTTCTTTTTGGTTTTATTTGCTTAATTTCTTTTATTCATCGTTCTAGCTTTATTATAGTTTTTGTATAGAACATGTGGCAACGATTAGATAATTCTTTAAATGATATCAATTTTGTGCATTCTGAGTTATGATATGAACTAGCGCCAGAATGTTGCTATGGTAAACAAATAGAGTGAATTTTAAAGGATGCATTTATTCTATCGCAGTTAATGCGCTATCGGCAAAGTAGATTTAATTCAATCCGATAAGTTTAAATGAAATGCAAGGGAAAATGCATATAATTTAATATTCCGTGCAAGGAAGTCATGTGGTGTACACATCAAATTTTTTAATTGAAATTTTCTAAACATGAATATTTCTGTTTCTATATAAACACTTTTGTAATTGGAAGTCTATGCTGGGAACAACAAATGCGAAAATAAAGGCCGGGTAAACTGTGCAGAAACACTTTTGTAATTGGAAGTCTATGCTGGGAACAACAAATGCGAAAATAAAGGCCGGGTAAACTGTGCAGAAACACTTTTGTAATTGGAAGTCTATGCTGGGAACAACAAATGCGAAAATAAAGGCCGGGTAAACTGTGCAGGAATTCAGCTTTCCTCCAACTAACCAACACGTGACCATCACTGGCACCAAAGCAGGACGTGCTTTCATCAGAAAATGCTACAGATCTTCACCTCGTCCTATAATGAGCTCTAGCTTGACACCACTGACACCACTGACTGATCTTGGCTATTTAAAATTCTGTTTTTGCCTATTTAAGCAGCGTATATTTTTGGATACCATCATAAAAATTCTTCCAGTATAGGATTAAAAGCCGTCTGTCATCATCAAATTACAATTTCCGTCATCATCATATTACAATTTTTCTAAACTAAAAGCACGAAAGATGGCATGAAAAGATAAACGTATGCTTAGAAAGGAAAAATAAATTATCAGTATAATGTAAGATACTTAGTTCTTTCTTCATTTTCTATTTAATTAAACACAAAGGAAGTACAAATGGCATAGCAAGTGACACGAATAGAGTATTCAGTTCCACATTTTCCAGTTTTAATCTATTTAAAAACAAGCTAACGACTTTCTTCACTTTAGAAAGTTCTGGATTTCTTTTTATAAAGTAGAAAAGCCTTTTCATATTTTTCGATCATTACGTTACATAATGCTTCCCTACCAAGGTAATTATCATCAATGCTGCCTGGCAGGAGTTGCCATTCGAAGAAGATAAGATTTTTCATTTATTATTCGAGCAGCCTGGCAAATTACCAGTTCTCAGAGATATTCTTTGCTATCTTTGGCCTTCAAATTGAAAATTTTGCTTAACTCATTAAGCTATTTATAAGAAAAATATGAAATACTTAATAATTTAAAACTTTATTTTATATTTTAATAATCTGTAATTGATACACTAACGTAGCGTACTTCATGATATTTATTTGATTTGTAAATTACCTAAATGATAGTTAAAAAAACTAACCCTTATTATAATTAGCAGAACATGTTTTTAAAAGCTTTGTGTTATGCATCGCAGTACAAAATAATCGTTTGCACTTGATTTAACAATAAAATTTTTTTGAGAAATATTTAGTGGTTTTACTTCTTTAATATCGAAGCATCAAACTGCTTGTAAATTAAAAAAACTTTTACCTTAATTCCTAAAACAGAAAAAAATATAACATTTATTTACAAGTTAAATGACTTTTGTATTGATTCGAGCATCACCAAACACTTTTAGGCACCGTTTTTATTCTACCCATGTTTATTAATTAAATGTTTTTCTTGCCATCGTAAGAGTCAAGTTAATGATAGTAAATGTTAAAAGGGATTTATTAAATATTTAAAATGGATTTATTACATTTATTAATTAAATTTATTTGTTACATTTATTGATTAAACTTATTTATTATTTAATTAAATTTATTTATTATTTAATTAAATTAATTTATTAAATAATATTTTTATTTTAAATAGATTTATTAACTATGGATACATGAAAAGAATCCACATACGTATGTTATATCTTTAGAATATACATATTTAAAAATTGCATAATAATTTATGTATAATATTCTTATTTTCTGAATATATGTTTCATTAAAATGTGCAATAATTTGAATAGTTTTTAATTTATTAGGTATTTATATTTCATAATAAGCTATATATTTAGTTTCCTAAGAAATTATAAATAAAGTCATTTGAAATTAAATTTACAGATGCAAGATATAAATAGGACAAAATTTAACTTTGCTCTGAAATTAATTTTAACTGATTTATCTGAAACCCCGCATGAATCTAAGCATTATAAAATTCAGCAAATATTAAGGCGTGATTAATAATTTAAATGGTACTGGCTGATTATTCTCAACTTCCCCCTCCCAAAAAGTCACGAATTGGTTGGAGAACATTCGCGAATTCGTTGGCGAAAATTAAGAAACCCAAGAAACATCGGTAATAAAATACACTGACGGAAAATTAAGTCCCGTCACCAAGAACGAGTATTACTAGATAATCGAAATTTGGTAGACATGTTTAAACATGCGAATGATGACGTCTATTCAGATTTCGAGGTAGGCGCATATGTTTGGCGCTGGTAGCTCTGTTATGAACATGCAGATCTGTTTTTCTTCAAATACGCGCTGTAAAGTTAGTGAGTCTTATTTATTATTGAGATTTGACGTAGTGAGTTGATGTTAGTCAAGAAAGTCTTTAAGAAGACGAAGTAGCTATTATGAACAGATCAGTGAGTTTGAACGAGGTCGTATAATTGGGCTATGGGAAGATGGATTTTCTTTCCGCGATACTGCAGAAAAGACTTAGCGGGAATGTTCCACTCTGCATGATTGTTGGCAGTAGTGGTCAAGGGCAGGTACTGGCTCAAGAAGACAGGATTCCGGGGGCCATGTGGCACTACTGAGAGGGAAGATCGCCATGTTCGGCGTATTTCTGTGGCGCATTGTACAATGTCTGCAGCAGAAATTTGAGCTGCAGTTGGCACCACAGTGACACAAAGAACTGTTGTAAATCGGTTACTTGAAGGACAACTCCGAGTCAGACACACTGTGCATTCCACTGACTTCAAACCACTGCCGTTTGTGACGTCAGTGATGTCAAGCTAGAGCTCATTGGAGGACGAAGTGAAGATCTGTAGCATTTTATGATGAAAGCCCGTTCTGCCTTGGTACCAGTGATGGTGATGGCCATGTGTTGGTTAGAAGAAGGCCAGGTGGATGCCTGCAATCAACTTGTCTGCGGCCTAGACACACTAAACCTACACCTGATACCTACCCTCCGTATTACTACCTAGAGTTATGGGCTGGGGAGCAATTTAGTACGACAGCAGGAGCACTCTAGTGGTTATCCCATGCACTTTGCAAATTTGTACTTCGGTCTCACCAGATCTTTTCCCAGTGGAGCACGTAAGGGACATCATTGGACGACAACTCCAGTGTCATCCACAACCAGCATTATCTGTCCCTGTATTGACCGACCAAGTGCAACAGGCACAAAACTCCATCTCACAAACTGACATCCGATGCCTGTACGACACAGTGCATGCACATTTGCGTACTTACATTCAAAATACTGGCGGTTACAACCGGTTATTAATTAACGCAAGAAGTTCCTTTGCATAAACCTGTGATCTTGAAAATTTAACCAGTTAAATATGTTACCTAGACAAATGTATTGTTAAAATTTCATTGTTCTATATAAATTTTTTCTTGGTGTCTGGATTTTTTTCCCGTCAGTGTACTTACCTTTTTCAAAAAAATCCTTCTCTTTTTTGCGCTGTTTTCAAATACTGTTACGAATTTTGTACATAAGTAAATCATTTTTGTGAAATTGTAGCGGTGTTTTTTTTTTTTTTTTTTTTTTTTTTTTTTTTTTTTTTTCGTACATTGTAACGTGAAATGCTTGAAAGAGAAGCTGCTCTATCGGAAAAATAATGTTACGAATTTTGTATTTAGGTAGCTAATTTTAGCAGAACTGTAATTAAATTTGTTGTATTTCCCCGTGCAACGCAGCTCGAGACAAATATTGAGAGAAAGCTATGTCGGAAAAGTAAAAATACAGGAGCACGGGCATTTAAAATTTAATAAACAGTATCTCTTTAATTTGTATTGAAACTGAATAAATGTAATTCACTACTGCGTTAGCTGTAACGGTAATTAACATCCTCTTATTGCTTTCCAGAAATCTCGAGAAGTAGAAATTGCTAGAAATTTCTCGCGACCGATTGAGAGCTATAAAAAGCCGGAGAGAAAACATCTCAGCTCAGTTGTTTAGTTAGTTGCTTAGTTACTGTTATTGCGATTTCTAGTTACGCGAGAACTGAGATAAATCGGATGTTAACTTTCTCTTTAGATTATACTCTTTGCATGACGTTTTATTTTAAAGTTTTTAGCAGTTTGAACTATAACTACTGATTATACTGCGTGCTATTGTGAACACTTGTACGAATATCTCTCAGGAAAATTCAAGCGTACTGATATATTTCTTTTGATAAGAATGAATTTTATTAATCTATTATCGGACTTGCGCATTTAATCTACAGTAAGACCCCGCTTAACGCGCGGGATACGTTCCATCAAAGTAGAGCGTAATGCGAAACAGCGCTAAACGAGGCTATCTTTACATGTAAATATTGGGGTTAGGGGAAGATGGCTAGGAAATTGGTTAGGTATTAAATTTAAAAAGTGTGTTTTTTTAATAAAAATAAAACCAAACATTTATTTCTTAAAGCCCAAATTAATACCACATTATTATTTCTTGCAAAAATAAAAACAAAATATAAATAACAAAACGAATATTCTTAAAAAAAAAAACAAATAAAATTCTCAGTCATATTTAGTTAGCCTTCCGCGTTTTCAGTGTTCTGCCTTTTTGTGACAAAAGCATCTAATATTGTTTGCCTTTTCTTTTGCGTTGTTCTCTTAAAAGTTCTTCATAAACGGATAGAGCATCTCTAACACCACGCCTTACTTTTGAGCTCCTGTCAAAATTCGGATCATTTTCAATGAATTGATCCATTATTTCAGTTATGGTAGACAAACTCCTTTTTACAAACGCCATCGAAAGTTCTTTTTGCTCTTCTTCTGAATCACTGCTGTCAACATTTTTGTTTTCTTCTTGTTCAGTTAATTCCTTGAGCTCATCATTAGAAAGACTAGCCGCTGCTTCTTGAATTATTTCTTCGACATCTTCCACATTTACCCCTTCAAAATATGTCTGTACAATACCGCACCAAACAAGAAATACAAGTACACTCTTTCGGATATGTATTTGAAACCTATCGCTGCATAATATTTCGGGGAATCCCCGTATGCTGCGAGCGATTTCGTGGAATCCCCGGGTTGAAATAAAAGAGCGCTAAACCGAAACAGCGCTAAACGAAACAGCGTTAAGCGGGGTCTTACTGTATTACGAAACCGTACGCATGCAACAATAAGTATATAGGGGCAAGTCTATTTTACATTGAATAAATCTCTATCTCGCTAAGTTGGCGAGATATCGCCAAGTTGGCAATGGTTTAGGCGCTAATTTTTTTCCTCCAAATTTGGCGAGAAATCGCCAAAAGTCGCTAAGTTTTGAGCCCATTTGGCTACATTTTGACCCGGTCCCTTTATGACAATAACGGGTAATCCTATATGTCCTAAATCTAACCGCATCCGGCCCTCATATGCCTTCCAGTAATTTCGTGAAGTCGAAGGTACTAGAGATATTTAGTGGCTTGGGGAAAACTATATTAAACCGGAAAGAGCACCAGTTTCTGAGTAGTTGTTCAGTTCAGCGTAAGTTCGGAGTATTGAGATATCTCCGTATTAGTTTTGCTTCTTAGATGTGCTTTGCATTACGCTGTGCTTAACGTTCTTACTAGTTTCAAATGCAACTAAATCTTCACAAAACAGTTCCGTTGAACTACGTGCAACGCCATCCGTCGATCATAAAATATAACATCCTATATAAGAGAGAGAGAGACAGAGATACTTTACACCTACCCCCTTACCTGGCTTAAAGTCCTTCCCCGGCTTCTTTATGTTAGCAGTCGTTGGTCAATGTCAAATAAAAAAGCTAATTTTCAACAAATAGCGAAATTTAATGTGGTCCAACAGTTCCTATATTTAGATTTGTGAAAGTTTCATACTTGTTATGAATAAATAAAATTATAAGAAGTTTGACTCCCGTACGACAGATTTAACCGCGCTGTTTCATTTCAGAATCTGCAGTTTTTTATGTCGTTTTCAACTTGCCCCGAGGGATCGGTTAGTTAAGTTAGAATAATTCGAGGCAATAAATTTCGGTTACAGCCGAAAACATCGCGGCAAAAACATCGCGGACGAAAACGTCGCGGAGAAAACAACGTAAGGCGAAAACGTCGCGCTACAAAACATCGTGGGAGAAAATATCGCAAAGAGAAAACATCGCAGTTCTAAAACATCGAGGTACAAAACATCATCGTCGAAAATATCGTGGTAAAAAATAAAGTATCTGCAAATCATCGCATGACGAAAACATCGCAGACATGTATTTTTTCAAGTTTTAGTAATTGTAAACAGATATTTCCATAATGATTTGTGTGCGCAAGATGTAAAGAAGGATAATTTTTACTTTCACATTTTTTTACTAAGTAATAATTTTTTGCTAAGAATTAAGAAGGCAACTTTATCATAGAAAAGTTGCATTTAATCTTCTATGCTTAAGTTTTATTCTTATTTTCTCAGCAAAAAAATTTATTAGCTAATAAAAAATATGAAAGTAAAAATTATCCTTCTTTCCATCTTGCGCTCACAAATCATTATGGGAATATCCATTTGCTGTTATTAAAGCCTGAAAAAAGCATGTCTGCGATGTTATTCTCATGCGATGATTTGTCGATACTTTATTTTTTACCACGATATTTTCGACGACGATGTTTTTAAACTGCGAAGTTTCTGAACCACATTATTTTCGACGACGATGTTTTGTACCTCGATGTTTTATAACTGCGATGTTTTCTTTTTGCGATGTTTTCTCCCACGATGTTTTGTGCGCGACGTTTTCGCCTTGCGTTGTTTTCTCCGCGACGTTTTCGTCCGCGATGTTTTTGCCGCGATGTTATCGGTGGACACCATAAATTTCAATGAAGCAAAAAATTTACATAATTTAATAGGTCGTACAAAGAAGTCATGTGATCAGAATTCTTTTTAATAAACTGCTTATTTCAAACGAACGTTAATTTAACAAAATATGTAATATTTTCTGTTTCAATTTGCTAGCTGGACCCACTGCCTCGGGGATTTTCCACCAGGTGGGGATTTCATGGTTTCAGGAAGGGAATGAGAGTCAGCCTTTTATTTACCCATTAATCTAAGTATTTAGTTTAGTTTAAATTAGTTACACTAAGCATAAATAGCACACGCAGAACAATAAATAGCTGGAAATAGCTCAAGGGGAACGCGATATTAAGTAATTCCTCCTTAGAGTACGAAAAATTACATACGTTCGTCAAATCATTCATAGGGTAGGCCCACCAACGGCCCATCGGTAAAATCGTTGAACACTGGTAGTTCGGTCCCGAGGTTGAAATCCGCGAACGTGCTGGCTGCATGGACATTTTCGTGGTTTTCCTCATGTTTAACATGTATACGAGTCAGTTTCTCTTAGAAAATCCTCCACGAAAGCATCCCTTCCCTTAGGCCTTTGTGGCTTTGCCGCAATCAGATAAACCATACCAAACCATTCATAGAATTTAGAACTGATTCCCTTGCCTCCAAAACTAGTATTTACATATTATAGCATGGGTTCGGGAAACTTCCGGAAGATTTGGCCCTAGAACTTCGGAAATGTGTTTTCCAAGATCTTCCAGAAAGTCTCTAAGTGAATAATAAAAATTGTCTCCTTGACCGGTCAAGAACGAATTTGCTTATATCTCTTAACTTCTACTCGAGGTATTTTTATAAATTTAACATTGTTGTCCTCAGAATTAAAAGACCTAAATTCTGTGTAAGGAAAACAAAACAGTTAAATAGGAAGCATGTGGTAGCAAATACATAAAACACAAATAAAGCCTAAAATTGTCCTTCCGAAAGCAACAAATAAGCATATAACTGAGTAAAACAATACACAGCACTGTAAGAGTACAAACAAACAACAATACAATAAACAGAATTAAATATTTACAAACATTAATAACAGTATTTATAAAAAAGATGCCCAAACAGTAGTTCCGTTATTTACCTGAGTTCCTCATTTTTGGAGAGAATGTGTAAAATCTTCATCGCGAGGAATGTTGAAAATTCAGCATCAGTTTGATCTGAAAGAGAACTTAAAATACTCTTCAAGACACCTTCGTCGGGTTGTTGACGAAGAAGTATTTCCGCCGCAATAGCTCTTACTGATCTATCCTGCTTCAGACCCACTTGATGAAAAACTTTGAGAAGTTTTTCTTGACCCTGGAAAGTAAACTATTACGTCAAATAAATGGTATGGTTCTAAAATTTTATAACATTTTAGTAGACAGAAAGATGAGAGTTAATTCAGTTAAATTCTTCAGCCAGTCAAAAAAAGGACATCGTTCCGAAACAAGCTAGATTACCTTATTTCATCATTTTCTAAATAAATACTTCCTTCGTTTCATACTTTTTTCATCAACTTTCATACATAAGTGCTCTGGTAAGAAATGCATCAAAATGCAAGGGAAATATCATTCTACCAAATTAAGATACATACCAGTCAGAACCATCAAAATGCAGGAATAGTCAAAAAATAAAATAAATATCCTGCTACATAACTTGCAACTTCATTCGATTACTTTGTTTTAATTGACGAAAAACAAATTATAATTTTTTTCCATCAGCACATGAATAACACAGAATTTCAGTAGCAATATCACTTGCATTTTTATTTAATATCAAATGAATTTGACTTGTCTGTTATGAACTTTTATATTGATTGATTTCATGAAAGAAAGAATAATACATTGTTTTTAGGCTTGATGTACAGTTATTCGAAATTGATCCGAGACGGTGTTAACTATCAAAGGCCATGTAAGTCTCATGCGGTACATATTTAAAGGCAATTTAAACTTGTTTTTTCTTTAAATAATAAGTTATACAGTGGCCGTTCGTATATGTTTTAGACGATTTTGCTTTGCTATAAAAATCGTCTGCTTCGAATTTTTTATACTTTAATTTTGTAAGTGTAAATTAGGCGCCTGCTACATGACAGTTTTGTTTTTATGCAAAATGGCGCTTTTAAAGAAGCAATAGATAAAAGGCTATATTTCTACTCTTCCGGAAAAATATTTCTCGTATCTAGTGCGTGATGCTATGAAAAACGCTATGAAAGCCATGGTTTTTGGACGCTTAAAGCTATAATAGTAATATTGTCAACAAGAAAGATAAAAAAAATAACAAATCCCCCCCCGCATAAATCCCATTAATAATATTGTTTGCCTTAATAAGTAAAGATCCTTTGTCTTTTATAACACTGCACTTAATGTTGGGAATTAACAAAAAACATTTTCGCAAATACCGCTGTTCTTAAGTGATTGCCAGTGAAAGAATTCGAAACACAGTAATTCAAAATTGCTGCAGATGTTAAATTCCCTATTAATCTTTATAATGCCAGTGGTTCTTTAGCGTTCATTCTAATTCAAAATTGTATTTGAAAGTTCTTCTTATAGGTAGTCTTTAATATTATAAATGTGATTACAATGCGTGTGATTACAATTGCAGCAATATTATGAAGAATAACCCTCCGCCGTGAAACTTCCCTAAGAATTACATGTTTGGTATCGAGAAAATTATTACAGTGCAGCACATATACAAAGGACGCGTGAGTGTATCGTTACTCTGGAGTAAGTGTGAAAAGAGAGCGAAAGAGAGGCTGGGATTTCAAATGTAATGTAAATTTATGCATGAAATTTGCAAGGTACTTTGTGAACCACATATTCGAAATGTTTGTTTTGGGGATGTTTCCTCTGAATGCTTTACTTTTATATAGGCAAGATGCTTTTTCTCCTTTTACCAGTTGTGAACTCTTTTATGGGACTTGCATGCAAGGAATCTGTGAAGTCAAGCCAGTCCCCTAAGGAGTAAATTTAGTTATGTTGTAAGGATCTTAAGTTTTACTAACGTTTATTTTATTTTAAATCTTTACTATCACTTCTTATTTTCTACTTCCGGCCAGAATTAAAAGCGTTAACTTATTTATGCAAAATTTGTCTGGCGAACGCCAAGTACTTAAGTTGGGCTTTTTTGCCAAGCGAGAGAGAGGAAGGAGTTAGTCGAAGCAGGGCCGCTTGCCTTAGAAGTTTTACTCGGTTGCTGTTTGCCTTCCAGGCCAGAGGTTTAATCCTCGTGATAATTTTAAACGTATTGTAGTGTTAACAGTTCTCTGTACTACATACGGCTTCCTGTTAATATCCGGCCAATCTTACACGTAGGCCCTTGTTGATTATTCCAAATTTAAGTTATAGTTATATTTTTATATTCTTACGTTCAGACCACAAGTAGTTGGTCTCTGTATTCCGAAGTACGGAAATTATTGTAAAAAGTGAAAAATAAAGGGTTTTGTATACCCTTCCTGTGTATCTTGTCTACTCCCACAGTTATTGAACATATCTTTAGTAAGCTCCCTGTTCCGAGTCAGGTCCTTGCATGTTCCCAAAGAAAGTAAGGCGGAACATTGAACCTGATAATGTTAGCAAAGCGTACGTAGACTATTTAGTGAATAGCCTTAGTATCCAATGGTTTTCTATACGAGAATCGTGTTCCTTTACTTCTGCATGAAGCCAGAATTTAGTCTTGAAGCATGTCAATCCTGTGAAACTTAATCGAATCAAACTTTGGTAAAATTTTGTTTGAAACATCTTTCAAAGCTTTTGATTCTTTTTTTCCTCAAATTTTATTTGGGAAAATCTTGTTGTTGTTGTGAGTTATTTCACTTGTCCGACAGCAACAACAGAACAAACCTACGAAATTCTTCGTGGCAAGGAGTGCAAGATTGCGCCTGGCGTTGGCAAGAGCCTTGAGCACGAAGTGACAGCATGATTTTGCTCAGTTCCGCCCACAGTTTTGACCCCAGGGGGTTCGGGTCCAAAGGTCTCTCAACCTTCTTTTACTAAAAGTATAAAGTAGCCTCGAGTAGAAAGACGAAACGTACCGCGACTGCGGATTATCAAATATCCGAAATGTTGCTTACTTTAGTCGTATTAGTTTTTATATTTGCGCAATCATTCTCGTGCGAATGTGAAACCCATGGCTCCAGAAAAGACGGACGGAGTGATATTCACGCTCACAACACCTTGATGCACCAATGATCGATAGAAGAGATATCTTAACGAATGATTCGTATGAACCGTACAGCCATAGTACTCACCCTAGAATTACATATATGCAGACATTAACCATCTAGATAAAACTATGTTCTTGATCAGAAAACCTTAATTGTGCGTGAAGTAACTAGCCGTCGAGACAATAGGATGATATTTGCAGACATCAACCATCTAAATAACACGACTGCAATCGTATAGACAGATATTAACCTTCTACACAAAACAAAATGACGGTAATTGTATGCGTATACATTAACTGTCTAGCCAAAACGACTCTTCTTACTAGTCAGAGAAAGATTAATGTGGTCATTAGGCATATGGTTCTTGCATACCTTAAGGCATCCTTCAGTCACCTTCAAACAGGACAATGCACAATCGTATGTCTCGGTGTCCGATAATCCTTCAACGCACAGCAGATTGTTTCTACCTCAATCGACACATTCATCAGAGCTTTTGCCGTGCTAGGGCAGGGTACCATGTGCCCTAGCTAATGACAAAGTGGTTACAATAGATGAAATATGGTAAAGAATTCCAGCATCTGAGACACCTGAACACATTCAGTCCCGGAGAAAGCATGGATGTTTGTAAATATATGGGCGACATGGGGAAAGCCTGGTGAGTCGAAACTCCTGTCGAGAGGTTTGATCGTAGGGTAGGATGGTGGGACGCCCTTGAAACTGGCAGATTTTCCTGGGGTCTCATTCTGACTTCCAGGTGGTTTTCCATCAAAATCAGGATGAAGTTTCCCTGTTCTCACGAGTTTAAAATCGGCCATCTCTTCTGTTGCACTTGGAAACTTTCTCAATCATGAAATGGCTAAAAGACCGATTATTTTTGCATTCCTCGACAAGTACTTAACGCCAAGGTCGCCATGGGGGTCACCGGTGACAGACATCTGGTTATTTTAGCAGTGCCATGAGGTCATAGGTGACCAGTGAAGTGCGTAAAATCGTTCTGCGCATGCAGTAAAATTTTTACACTACCCCCGTGATGGGTACTGGTGACTTCACATCAAAAAGCGTTAAATTTTATTTGTTTAAAAATGCAGCAAAATAATAAAATACCAATTATGTTTTTATATCCTCAGTAAGCCTGAAAACCAACAGTCATTTTTCAATCAATTTATATCAAATTATATGGCGATCAATGCGTTAACTAGCAAAGTATCCGGCCGCTGAAATATAATAGAATGTTTGCAAGTAATCGAATATAATTAATATTTTTGTTCATACCAATTTTAATGATACAACTACCGCTTGCTTTTAAACCACCTTGAAATTTCTGTTGACCGTTAAAGAATCTAGAAGGTAACAGTTAAATTAAGAAACCTGTATCTGAATACTTTATGTTTATGAGCTTAATAACGGCAGAATTTAAGAATAATTCAGTTTTGAATTAAAAACTGTAAAGAATGATTTTCATGCATAAGTAAAAATTTATAAATTATTGGTAACAATCAGCTATTAGAAAACATTTAAATATTAAATACCCAAAATTAAACCTTACTTCGGGTGGCAACAATCGACCTGGAATATTTCTCAATGCAAAGACGGCCTCTAATGCAGGTTTACCACCTTTGACGGCATATTTTAATAGCAACGAGGAAGATTTGGGTTGGGCAGCATTACGCAGTCCACGTAGATAGGCAACTGAGCAAGACTCGCTATTACAGTTCTGAAGTCTTCGTTCGAGGAAAATACGTGTATCGTCCACAATCTAGATATAAAATATTATCACATTGAAATACAATTGTGATAAAATAAATTGTACTTTGAGCTTTTCTTTTATATAAAACATTTTTGAAGTTAGTTCAAAAGAAACTATTAATAAAAAATTTCTTTAAAAAATAAAGTAAGAAAGTTGCGTTCACAAAAATTGTAATATTATGTTATGATTTCATAGATAATAGTTATTCGAAAAATTAAAATCATATTGATTTTTTGGCACCTTGGCATAACACAGTAAAATACAGGATGCCCATAATTTAAATACCGGATGACAAAATTAAATTGAAAAGTAATTTTACGAAGTAACAGGCAATTTTTTTAGTTCAAGTAATTTCATTTGCTCTAATTTTTGGAAATGGCAACACGAAACTTGCTTGTTTACAGACAAAATGGCGTCATGCAGTGAAAAAGCAATATGCGTTCTTTGGTTATGGGAAACGAAATTTCTGGAAACAGTTTAGAGGCGGTATCGACATGAATTTAATAAATAAACCTTCACCAACGGAGCAATCAATTAAAACTGTTTCGAGAAGCCGAACATGTTTCAGAAAAGGAAATGGAGGTAGACAATCGACAATGAGTCAGGTATGAAAATGTTTCGAGAGTGTTTGTGTGCAGTCGCAGTATATATATTCGCTTTGCCAGCCTACAAACAGGAAGTCCCATGTTGACTGTTCATAAAATTGTTCTTCAATGGTTGAAACTGTCGACGTATAAACTGCAGCTTTGTCAACAAATGAAACCTAATGGTTGTGTGGTTTGTAAGGAATTTTCTGTATACATGCTTGAACATGTCAATAAGGACGATCAGTTTCTTCCGAAAATCGTATTCCTTGATGAATCAACTTTTTCATGCTAGGATTTCGGGATCAGAAAACCTGCATTATGCGAGGAAAATTGAGAAAGGTAATGAGGTATGACCTCACTCAATTTCTACAGAAACTGGTTTCTTGTTTTTCTCCCAGTCATCAAGTAATCTGGATGTTTACTTTGATATACTGAGATTGTTTACTGTAACGCAATTAGAAGACAACCAGCCAAACGTTTTTTTCCACTAGATAAACCTCCACTCATTTGGCTACTCATGTGCGTGATTAAAACATTCATTCAGTGTTGGTTTGGTGGAGGTGGACTAGTTTCAAGGCCATCACGCTTTCTGGGTATCACACCACTTGCATTTTCCTGGGGATACTTGATAAACCGAGTTTGTGCTGCAAAGATTTGCAGCATCAAAAATTAAAAAACTGAATTACAACAGAAACAACCGAGATGACTCCGCAAATGTTTAATAATTCAAGAGGGAAACAGAGAACAGACTTCTCGAGCAATTAATGGTGGTCATGTTAAGGGGACTCATACACCTTAAACCCCTCATGATCTTCGAATATGTGACTGTTGCAAGAATTTAGATATTTTATTTATTTTAAAAGCAATTACTTCCAACGTTTTACAGCTGACTGCATAATATAGCTGCTTTGGAAACTAGTAAACAGAAAGTTTGTGTTGCCACAAATATTTTTGTAATTTAATCTTCTTTGTGACAAAATATTTCGCCATGTTTCCACCTTGCGCGCATGATATTTTAAAAATGGCTAATGGTACATACTTGAAATTGGATGGAATTCTTTATATGGGCACTATTTTCGAATTGAACCAACAATCTGATAAATATTTTAATATTGAAAAATTTTATGGACGAAAACATTAAAAATTTTGTTAATAAAATACATTTTATAAACTCGACTCAAAATAAAATAAAAATTGAACATGAAATTTTTAGAATTTTAGGTTCACAGTAGTTCCCAAATATTATAAAAGCTATATATTAAATATGGAATTAAATTATGAAACAGAATGTTTTAAACTGTGCGCGCAAGTTGGAAACATGACGAAAAATGTTGTCACAAAGCGGATTAAATTATAAAAATATTTGTGGCAACACAAACTTTCTGATTACTGTTTCAGAAAGCAGCTATATTATGTAGTCAGCTGTAAAATGTTGGTAGTAATTGCTTTTAAAATAAATAAGTTATCCCAATTCTTGCCACAGTCACCTATTCGAAGATCTTATGGGTTTTAAGGTGCGTGAGTCCCCTTAAAGTGTATTAATATAAAATTCTTTGAAGTGCTGAATAAAATTCAGTTAGTCTTTTTTTCTCTGTCTCTTATATCATAACTCTTTCTCTTATGTAAAGCATATGTTTATCCGGTGAATAAATTATGGACACCTTGCATGACTAAATCTCTTTGCAGCACAGTCTAGTGCTGTAAAATTGTGCGATGGTTTGCAAATTTTATATTTTTGCCTAACTTGTGCTTGTAAAATTTACGTCCACGCGATATTGCTTATTCCCTCATTTCCTTATTCTCCTTTTTGCATTTTACGATACACTTAAAGATTTTAAAAAATTATATTTTTTAATAGATCATAAAATGAGTATATGTGAAAAAAAAATCTGAAAGGTTCCAGAGTTCATCCAAAAGGGTTTGTTAAGGTTTTTTACAATCTCCTTTCAGTCTACAGGCCTGCTGTTACACTCAGACCTATTAACCCACTATTTTTTTGGGGGGTGGGGAGGATTTTTAGCTATATTGTTAAGCATAAGTTTCTTCGCACTTACGCCATGCAAAGTTCAACAGCAAAATTATAAACATTTTAAGAGCGGCATAGCTGTATACGTTTAGAATTCCCGATGCAGCGGTAACTGTTGGCATATATTTTTTTGTTTGTTTCAATCTTTTTTCAGTTTATCATATCAATATTCAGTTTTCTTTCTAAGAAGGCTTTACGAAACTTTTTTTTTTTTTTTTTGTCTTTTTATTATTAACGCTTTGTGTGTTTATTCAGTACTACATTATTGATGCTTACGCCATATAAAATTCGATTCAACGGCAAAATCACAAAATATTTAGAAACGGTATATGTTTAGAATTTCCGGTAGATATTTTCGCGAGTTGGAGATAAAAATGTTTCATTCTGTACAGGTAAAGGTAAAGGTAAAAGTATGGGGGACACCAGCGATGTACCATAGGTCAACTGGTAATGTCTTCCCATACTAACTCTTTGAGAGAAAAAAAAAAGGGGGGCTAATTGCAAGTTTTATAAGAATTTGCATAGACTGAAGCTTTTCAAAAGGTCTAAAGTTTGCCTATTATGGTACATCGTGCAATTCCACAGTACGCTCCGCATCCAGCATTTATTAAAAATAATGGTGTAGGGCATAAATAGATTACAAAATAGTAGGAGATTCACAAGGTTCATTATTCACCAATGTCCCAGTGGAGGGTGCATTAAGATGTCTAGAAAGCAGACTTCGCGAATTTCATTTCTCTTGCATCGAAATTGATGAGCTAATTTCTCTCACTCAACTCTGTTTGAAACAAACACATTTTGTTTTCCAAAATAAATATTACAAGCAAACTGAGGGATTAGGCATGGGAAGCCCCCTCAGTCCCATCCTGGCTGATATCTACATGCATTATTATGAATCAAAATTGTTTGAAACTTTAAACTTCCCGGCATGTTTCCGCTACGTAGACGATACTTTTACTCTGTTTGAAGGTAATAAAGATGATTTAAATAAAGCTCTTTCAACAATGAATTCTATTGATCCTGCTATTCAGTTCACTTTTGAACTTGAGACTTGCAATTCTCTTCCGTTTCTCGACATTCTGGTCACACGTAACACATAAACTTCAGTACTACGGTTTACCGTAAACCTTCATCGGTTTGCCTTCCACCACACTTTAAATCATGTCATCCGACTAAACAAAAGTTAGCTTCATTTTATTCCTATGTTTTCCGTGCCCTTCAAATTTGCTCCTCCAAACTAGCCCTTGATGAAGAACTAAAGTATTTAAAAGCAATAGCTATTGACAGGGGCTTTCCGCCCAACATTATTAATCAAGCAGTTAAAAAATTCTCATCTCAACACACTAAAAGGCACACTCTTGTTTTAGGAGATTATAAAAATTCTGTTGTCATTACCTTCTTTCCATCAATTAGCTATAAAGTTGCACGTATTTTGCAGAAATTTCACTTTCGGGTTGTTTATTCTCCCATCAATAAAATTCCGAGTTCCATACTCAAGGACCCCATTCCGGATATGAATTCCTGGGGTATTTATAGGATTCCTTGCCAGTGTGGTTTAATTTACATTGGCCAAACTAAGAGAGCCTTAAAATTTCGCGTCAAGGAACGTGAGGCATATGTTAGAAAAAAGGAAACACAGAAGTCTTCTGTTGCTCAACATTGTTGGTCCGAAAACCACACTTTCAGTTTTTTCTGCTGCCAAAATTATTCAAAAAAACATCTTCCATTGGAGAACTGGATTTTCTAGAGGCATTTCACATTCATAAAAATCTTTCTGTTCTAGTTAACGATCCTAATTCCAATCCAAATTTGCCTTCGGCCTTTAAAGAAATTATGTTTTAGTTCTGGTTTTACCAACAGATGGCGCCACTTGCTTATTCTTGTCCAGGCTTTCTTATCTTATCTAATCATTATTTCCTACCTTGTTCATTTGCGGTTTTGCAGCTGAAGATGGTGGTTCGGTAAAACCATCGAAACTAGTCCTGTGAAAATTTTGTAAATATAACGCTGATTTTTGTTGTTTGACTTCTGAATTAGTATTTATTCGGCGTGTTATTGTGTCTTAATTATTCACAAGGTAAATTAAACATCTGATTTGGTGCAACAAAAATAGGAGATAAACATAATTAATAAACAAATAAACATAATGAGATAATTATAATTAGTAATGGCAACAATGTTAAATGAATTGTTATAATAATGCTAAAGAGGTAGTATATGGTAGGTGTCCATGGGTTATTTCAGATATATTGGTTTATTGCAGTTTATAAAGTTCACGAGCGGATCCATTTTGTTCATAATCACAGCATGTAAAAGTTCACCAAGTTTAAACTGTATGTGGACTTACACTTGACAGAGATCTAGGCCGTACGAAGAGAGTCGTTGCATAATTTTCTGAAACTTTGGATATTGATGTTTATCTTTAATTAAAAACATTTGGAATGCCAGGAGGTCAGTTCTTGGAGATTTTATGTGAATATCCTCAGTTAAGGGGCATGAGAAAACGTAGTGATCAGGAGTTCCCTGTTCCCCACATATGCAGATATCAGAATTTGCCAAATTTCTTGCGTAGAAATATGTGGGGAAGGGTCCATGGTCCTGTTATAAAGTAATTTAGGGAAGGATTCGAGTTCGGAGATGCTAAGCTTACATTGGGCATCAAGTTATATGTGCGTCTTCCCTGTGGAGCATTGTCCCACAAATCTTGCCAAGATTTTGAAGCAAGTTGTTTTAGCCGGTACTTGAAATTTGAGCGAGGCCACGGAATGATGATTTCAGTACCATTCATTCTGTACAGTGTTACCGCTGCTGGCTTTGAAATCGTTGAATTTATTAAATAGATATTTGCAAATAGTTGAATTAGATACCTGTAGAATGAAAGGCTACAGTGCTAAACTCACTGAAGTTAATCGCTCTTAGCCAGTTTTCCTAAGTCCTCCACGGGGCATCCTTCCCTTTCCGCGTAGTCCCGAATAGCGGACCACATGATAAATAAATAAATGAAAAGTAATAAAGATACTTTAAAACACTGTAACGCCAATACTGTCGTTAAATACACTTGTTTAAGAGTTTCTACAGATATTAAACTGTAGCTGTGCTGTGCTAGACGTTAACAATCAAGAGAAACATATAAAAATTATCGAAGCACATAAGTTAAAACTTCGTATTTAGTTTAACCTTCAAACTAATATGTTTCTTACCTTTTTATCAGCAATTTCATAATGCTGTGCATAAATTCTTAAAATAGATCCAAGTGTTGAAATCAGGGTGGCTTGAACTTTTTCACTAGGTTCCTTTTTTTCTATAAAAGACTGAAAAGCAAGAATAAAAAATGTAAGGAACAAGTATTGTATTGCTTCATTTATTAAAAACTGAAAACAAAAATGTTTTCTTTACTATTCTAAAGAACTTATTTTATAATTTTTCTTTGTTATTATTTTATATGAGTTAATTTTTATATCATTGAGTTAATAATATTGAAACGGTTTCAAAATATATCTGAAAAAAATATTTCTCCAGTTTTCTTAAATTTTACAATTCTTATTAGTATATCTATTTCAGGGGGGTTTATTGCAATTATTTTGCTTTCATTTTATAAAAATAATATAGTGCTTACAAACAAATTTGACATATTTCATTTGAAGAAAGGATAATTGCAATCTACAGAGCAACTATAGCAGCGTTTAACTGAATTTTGCGCCTCTTAAAGTCACTTTTCGCTGTTCAGTTATTTTCCGTTTTTTACTTTACTGTTGTTTTTTACTTTACTGTTGTTTTTTTACCTTACTGTTGTTTTTCACTTTATGTGGATTTCGAATTAATTCCTGTTGCAATAAAAGTACTTTTTTGGTTATAGTAATTATTTTTATTTATTTAATTATTTTTTATTATTTTATTTATTATTAATTTCAGAATTCTTAGTCAGTTATTGTACATTAATTAACGTCTTGAAAAGGAGACGCCAAGTTATTTATTGAAGCTCTTCGGCTATGGCAACATCTTGTAAGGATTTACTTATAATTAACCAGTTATTCTTTAGACTAGAAGAGAAACACGCTAATGTGACAATCAAAATGGAAAAACAACCTTCTATTTAGCGTAAGTATATTGAAACACTCAATCGATTTCGAGGGCAGCTAAAGGTCCCTCCTTATCAGAAGAAAGAAATACATAGTAAGAAGAAAAATAAAGGGGAAGGAGTCTCAGAAACACGTGGTCCTTATCAGCACTGCACATGGTTAAACCGGATTTTTAATCAGAGTTACACTGGCCGCCTACTTTTACTGAGCCAGGCTATCTGATCAAACATATAACGCAAAGGACAAGAAAAATTAGCGAAGTTAAAAATAGGGAGCGAGGGGCAACTGCACCTTCACGCTCAAAATCTGAACTTCGAATAATGGAAAGCAATCATTGAACGGATTTATTTCTTTCTCCTGATGAGGAGGGACCTTTAGCTGCCCTCGAAATCGATTGAGTGCTTCAATATACTTACGCTAAATACAAGGTTGTTTTTACGATTTTGACAGTTATTCTTTGTTTGATAACTTTTCTGCTTTTCTGGCTTTCTGTTTGCCTGCCAGAATGCAAGTTTAGTTAGCGAGTATTTAAATTAGGTGAAAAGATTGTGCTAATGGGATTAGAGAGAATGTTAGAAAAAATATGAGAACATAGAAGAATATTTAAACGAAAAAGTATGGGGGGAAATATATAAATTCGAAACAGAAACACAGACAGCTATGCATTCAGAAATTACCATAAATTTTTAAAACACATTTAATAAAAATAGAGTTTTATGAAATCAAAAGTTTATGAATCCCTGTAGTTCCGTTTCACAAAACAGCTGCCAGAGGCTCGCTCATTTAGGGCTTATTTAGCGCACCAGAGTGCGCTCCAGCTAAAATTACGATGTCAAAACACCAGGGCAACTGGGTTCAGAGACCGTACCCTTTGTAGAACATTTTGAAAAATTACGAATAATGACAAAACAATAACCTATCACCTTTTAGAACTTAGCTGAGTTATAAAAAATTTGATTGAATTAAAGTAAAAAGGTTAAGTAAATTTTGAAAGGGGTAAAGGAAGAAAAATGAAATTTTCGAGAATGATATAAGTCCTTAGGATGGGGAATTACCAGCTAATCTTTCTCTTCTGCTACTTTCATAATATACATTGCTGCTCGAAAACTAACTGCTAATTTTTCTGCCGTACTTTTAGCTGCTCTGATTTTGTTTATATGTTCGATAATATTGTCTATGAAATCCTGGATTTCCGGGCCTTGTAACCAAGACATCGCTTCAGTGGCTTCTTCAGGGATCTTCGTAATTTTCTTTTTAACTTTCTCACTAAAAACTTTCTCACTTTCTTTTTAACTTTCTAGTATTTCGTTTTCCTTCTTTGGGTGTCTCCGTTAGCTCTGGGAAATGGTCTTTCTTCCTAGCGAATTCTTTCGGCGCTTGTTGCTCGGTTTTCTTCTCTATTTTCTCAAACTTTTTCTTATACACTTCACACCCGCAGTAATTGCAGACATGATTTTGTTTACAAAAAATGCAAACTGATTTGTCTTCTTTCTTCAAGGAACAGACGTTGCTCCTGTGATTCTCTCCGCATTTGCAGCACCTTTCTGCATTAGTGCAAAGATGCTGCGAGTGTCCACACTCTTGACATCTATAGCACTGTGTTGGTCTTCGGCGCGGATTGTACTTTTCTATTTTCAATGTTCAGCGAGTGAATTGCGTAGCCGTTCTTGTTTTTCTTAAGTTCTAAAAGCCAGATAAGCAGTTTTTCAAAATTATTTCTTAAAAATAATTTTGAATTTTCTTTTTCAAAATTATTTCTTATTTCTAATAGGCTAAACTGTTTCACCTTTAAATCGGGAATTTTCTTCTTTCTAAATCAGCGAAAATTGCTTCTTCTTTTTATCTTATATATTTTATCTTTTTTCTTTTATCTTATATATTTTATCTTTTCTTTTATCTTTTTTATTTTATTTTTCTTTTTTATCTTGTATATTTATCTTTTATCTTTTTCTTTTTCTTTTATTCTTTTTATTTTTTTTTTCTTTTTATCTTATATATTTTATCTTTCAAAATAACCCTGAATTGCTTCTCATGGGACATCAGATACGTGCGGAAAGGAATCCCTCTTTCCTTCAAGAGTTTCGTGACCTTCCTGTGATCATCTACAGATTTTAGGTTGACAAGTATAGCTTTAGATTTCATTCGGGCATCAAACTCTTCCGTACAATTTAATCTTAGTATATCTTCCATCTTTAACCAATCTATTTTTCCCTGCTGAAAAACAATTGGTGAAAGTAACTCATCAGTATTTGCCCTTTCTTCCTCATTAGCGTTAACTGCCTGCAGTTTTCCGAACCTATTTTTCCTGTGAAAATTCCATGGGGACTGTCTTTTCCTGCACTCTCGCTGTTTTTTTTTTTTTTTTTTTTTTTTTTTTTTTTTTTTTTTGTGGAGAAATCTACAGTCCTTCATTTTTCTCTTCTTCATCTCGGTCTTGAGTATTCTTTCGTTGGTTATCTGTTACCAACTCGGCAGGTCCTTCTGATATACCCAGTGATTGCATGACATTCATTATATCCTGTTCCTTAACCCTTCTTACCAGAATATCCATTGCGATTTCACCATCCATCTTTTTGTCCTCATTAAGAAGCGTCACATCAGATTCCGACGTAGTTTTCATCTTCTTCTTTTTATTTTTATTCTTCGGTGATTTTAACCAATCTTCCTTCCTAATCGGGAATTGCATAGATTTTCCTGACATTAACGACCGGTCCGATTCCATTTCGTTATCGGCCGATTCGCCTGGTGTCCTAAAAAGGGACATTTTTCTGTCCTCAAGGGTACCTAAAAACATAAGTTTAAAATATACTTTAACTGACTAAAAATAACACTGAACTGTCTGCTTACTGGACTGGGACAGTTAGATCCCAAAGTGAGAGAAAACTGCAATACACGTTCATCGTCACTGCGAGACGAGGAATGAGAATCGATAAGACCAGAAGACTATGCAACACAAATATTCGGCCAAAATATTACGACGTTTTTCTGCAATCGTCAATATATACTCAAGTCACCATCTTATGTTACAAATTGTGTTTACAGCAAAGTTTCGCAAACTAATGATACATGTACCACTAATCTTCCATTACATCACTTTTGGTGGTAGAATTTTCGAACAAAAGATTTAAATGAATGACCAAAACAAATATAGAATGGCACCCTTTTCTAGTACATACATTTTTTATTCTTATTTATATGGTACAAAATGGAAAATGTTTGAGAACCCCATATTTAAAACGAAGGACTAGTACCGCGTCCTGAAAAGAGAAAGGTTAGTGGTGCCATCTATTGGGATTATCAGAGATAAGATTCTATAATCCAGGGAATTTTATTATGTTTGAGGAGACTACCAAACCATAAATGGCGCAACTTGAAAAAAACAAACAGAATGCATTCTAATTAATCTAAGAAGTTTCGGTAATTCAATTGCTTAATTACTGAGCTTCGAAGTTAATTAAATTTCCCTTTGTATATAAATGTCTTGAAAAAATTTAGATAGCCCCTTTCAAGAATTTTCATACAAATCTAGTATTTAATTCCATTTGGACGCTAAGAGCATAATATCTGCAATGCAGGATAAAGCAAAATTACATAAATTTACAAATTACAAGTTGTAGAGATTTTAAGATATAGTTATAATACTGGAATACATTTGAGTACATGATAACAAGTATAGATATATTTATAAATTCAGAAATAAGGTAACATAATTGTGACTAAAATTTTAAAAAAAGGCGAAACGCTGAATAATATTTTCAATAAAATGTACCGTATTTTCAAAAAAAAAATTAAATTGAAAATTTAAGACAGCATGTTCAGAAATTATAGAATTACCAAAAATGTTCAAGAATTTAAAGACCAGGCATATATAATGCTTAGAATCCGCACAAACGAATTCTAACTTGCTTAAAGCAATAAGTACATAATTAAAGTTTTGCTTTAACTAATTTAGCTACAGAGCTACAAAGGTTACACAATAAAACTGAAATAACTACAATAAAAGAGTAATATTTTTATTGGTATATTATAGGCCCCGGTTTTGGAGGTTGAACTAATTCGCCTTGAAAATGACTTGAAAATGAGGAATCATTAAATATATTTTAGCCATTCTTATTGCATAACAATGGCTATTCCGCTTCAAAATGGTAGAGGAAAAAAGGTTTCCAATGGATTTCTCTAGCACACTTTAGATAGACATATTGTACTGAGAATTACAAGGCTTAATTTCTAACGGCACCAAATGTAATAATATATGATGTTCCAAATGTGATGATAAATGGGTGGTGTTCCGCAATAACCCAGAAATACTGGATAGGTGCAGGATGAAATGTGTGATCTGAAAAAAATTATGGAATTAAAGTAACTTACCCGCAAAGGATGACACTTACAAATAATGTGAATTACGAAATATTTATTATATCTTGACATCGTGAAAATTTAAATTAATACTAGCATAAATCAAGAAAACATCTCCAGACAGAAGACAATAGACGGCAAACTACTGCAGCAGTAAGAATCAGTCCTACCATTTTGAGTCCCAACCTTTCGTGCACAAAATGCGTAAAATTCCAATCTAGTAAATCTCAGTTCATCTTCGTTACACAAAGTTACATGATAACAAAAATTCAATTTTGACTTGAAGGACTTGAATTATTATTCCAATATATTTTTGTGGAAACACAAGGCCAATTCTAGCATCAAGATGCAACACGTGCACAGGAATTCCTTTCGAGGACGTCTCAAGTCGTAAAACATCATTCATTTACCGCAGAAGTCAGCATCAAGATCAATTTAGTTGAATCTTCATACCACTTACTATTATTTTTCTTGACAAAATGCATTCTCTTGAAACTATTGGAGATGGTCGTCAGAAAGGCACGAAAAAGAACAAATTGCAGACACGCATCATCCGCAGTGAGGACGGACAGAAGAAAGAAGAAAGATTTTGGCTTCCCTGTTCCGGGAACTAAGCCCACTACAGGTCTACTCCCCCTTTGGGCACATCGTGGAGGTTCAACCTCCACTATTACCCTCCAGGAGAGCAGCGCACCACCTGGATAAGACACCAGGCAGCACTGGTCGTCTAATGCTCCTACCAGTCGCTTGGGCGAGCCCGTCGCAGCGGGACATTACCCAGCGACCCCGGGGGAGACTCCCGGGTTACAAGAACCACGCCGCGCTAGGACGTGCCAGACTCCAAGGCCGGCCAATAAGTGACCTTTCCCAGAGCCTTCAGAACCACCAAATTCATAAATTTTATACAGAGTTCTCTACGTCGACCCCGGGGGGGGGTGAGGACGGACAGAAGCCCGCCTTACACCTTCGGAGTCTAGCAGCAGAAGGGACAGAAAACCGGTTGTAGTGGTCAATCTCGCTCTGTCATTGAGCGGTCGCAGTGAACAGACTTGATGTTGAATAAATGTGGAGGCATGCCTGCACACCGGAACCTTATGGAAGGCCGTTAAGAAAGAGCAACAAAGATAAATAATTAAAATAATTAATATTGAGGTTCAGTAAAAGGTAAAGAAATAAAAAATCTGTAATAAAATTTATTAAATTAATAATAAGTAGTTAAATAATAAAATATCGAATCTCTTTTTATTTGGGCTCCATCTGGAATTGCAGTTTTACTTTCAAACTAAAAAACAGCTCAGACGTGGTCCAGCTGAATTTGAGTCTTCAATATACGGAATAAAATTGCCCCTTGAAGGAACGACAGAAATAAAGACAAAGCTTTTCTCAGCATACCAATCAAAAATGATAAAAAGCGTCACTAAAGAGAATAGAAAGAATGCCAGAGGCCATATAAGAGTATGGAAAGAACTTTTAACGGAGAAATGAAAGTATGAAGGTAAAGAAAAACAGTAGCATTTTCTGACCACCGTCTCCTAGCGATATAATTCTGTCAAGTACATGACACCAGAAAAACATTCCCTCCGAATCGGAGAATTGAAATGTTAAGTGACAATTTTCATCCCCCCGAATTTGGTTAATAACGTTCCAAAAAGTCTGCCGGTGTTCTTTTACATGGAAGGTCACTAGCATTGGACGTGCATGGCCAGAGTTATCTTCGTGAACGAAACATTTACCTGTTTCTGTAATCCATTGCACTTCCTGGAGAAAAAGCCTTTGGCACGTGAGGACGGCTTTTCTTTCCTTAAAAATTTCACCCTCCTTCAAAAAGTCTGATTCTCGGGGAGCCTTCCTATGTAGGGAATCTGGTGTACTCCGGCAAAAACCGAGAAATACCCAAGCCGGGATCCAGTGGGCTCCGTAAAGCCTGGAGATTTAGGGGATTGAGGAGAGGGCAGCAAGATGAAAATGCTCACGTTCACTTTCGTGTTCTTGAAAATATTCTGTCTCGAGGTTTTCAGAAAGGACTGGTGAATGCTTTAACATCCTGATACAAGGCATGGACTTTGGAATACTATGTTTGGACAACTACCTAGGTATAGCTACCAGTACAAGCATCCTGGTACTATGCACAGCATTTCTTGGCTGTCATATTACTTGAAAGTAATATGACAGCCAAGAAAAATCAAGTTCTCCAGTCCACTTCCCGTACCTCATTCTCGGCTAGACCAGGTGCGAGAGCTGTCCATAACTGTAACGTACTAAGCAAAAGTATAATACGATTAATAGCGATTAATGCTGCTACAAATTATGTGACTTTAAGGGCCTAAAAAGGGTCCTCGAGTTTTTGAGATTAGAGCATACTTCGTAACTTACTTAAGTTAAAAACCAAGTTCACTTAGGTTATACTTGCAATCGATATTACACTTTGATGCATATGTATACATATATAAAACCAAGTCTTCACTCGGCGATTTAATATTTCCGCTAAGAAAATTAAAAATGTTTGAAATTTGTAACGAATTTAGTCAGTTATTGGAAATCTCAAATGAAAAGAAATGTAATCAAAATATTTACCATCAGTTCTTCCAAAATGAATCCATCTGGACGAGGCAAGACTGATAAACTTACAAGAAAACGTTCTAACAGTTCATCAGAGCTTTTAGAGGAGCTGAAATGCTCAAGAGCTGCAGTTAGAGCATTCCTTGTACAGCTCGCAGCAATTAAATCCAAGATCTGAGGCCTGTAAAAATAATTACAGCAGATTATTTAGAAATGAGGATTTTCGAAAAAGCACAATAAATGTAATATTTGATCATAAGCTAGCCTGCTTTTTTTTTTCTTTTCTTTTTATATTTGTTCTTCTTTCTTCCTCCCCTCCCCATTTCTAAAATTCCAAAGGGCTGTTATTCTCAAAACGGCATTTTGAGTCGAATCCTTAAAAGCGTTGAATCACTTTTCAAATTGTTGCCACCAAATATTATCGCCCTGTATTATATTTGAAGAAATTAAATAATGAAAAGTCTGCATAAATGTGTGCATGTTTCTCCCATTATGAAAAAGCAACGGTACCTAGAGCCATCCACTTTTAAATAATGTAATCCGAACATGACCACCTGGAAGACCGAATTTTGAATTTCAAATGAATTCTATTATCTATTTCATATTTCGTAAAACTTAACCGATTCTTTTATTTAAAAACTCAACGATTTCAAAGCGAGCAGTGACAAAATTGTACGGAATAAAACATTTTTATCTCCAGCGAGTGAGACTATCTATAGGAAATTCTAAAGACATGTTATTCTTAAATATGTTTCACCCTAAGGGACATTAGCCCAAATGCTCTCGAAACATGTATGTGAGTGTAAATGAAATAAACGCCCCTTTGGGCGTAATATAAAATCTGCAGGCTTTCAGATTTTATTATTATTATTAGTTTCAGAACGGTGAAGAATCAGGATACTTCATAATAATCAGGGATATTAGACATTGAATTTTGTAGAAGAATTAATTAATAAACAAATAGGAAAAAGAATAATTTTATGCCTAAGTCTGAATGATTTTCTGTTGCTTGATTTACCTTTTATATGAGTTTCTCCTATATTCTCTGAAATATATTATTACCACAAAAGTAAACGTAATGAATACTAAGTAACAAACGTAATGAATAATTTCAGAATATCATACATATTCTGAAATCATAATTAAATATTCTTTGAAATAGCTGCCGTCATGTTGGATTTGAAAATCTCAAAATAACCAAGGGATACATAAAATACACAATTAATTTTTTTGAGCACGAAATTTATAGTTCATTATTGATTCCCCATTTCTGTGGTAAATTATTATTGAAAACTTGTTTGGTATTTAGTTCGTTTAAGCAAGGTATTCAGGATCTGGAAAACGCCATTTTTTCAAACGTTCACTCAAAACCTGTGCTGATTGTGATATTAGCGTTCGAGTGTGATTGAAATCACTCAATCTTTAGGCATACATTGAATGTTATAAACAATACAGCGACATATCCATATCACATGAAGAACCTTTGAATTTCCCAAAATAAACTCATTATGCAGTGATAAACTAGACAACACAAATATTTAAAAAGTTAAATTCTATCTCGCATAACAAGCTCTGTCGCTCCTGGTAAGAATAAATGGAATAATTAAATTAGGGTAAATACCAATTTGTTTCACGGAGGCGTTTAGAAATTAAATGCCTGAAACGTATTGCATCTGATATCAGGTACTTTAAAATTGATAATATTTACAAAATGGGCGTATGTTAATGAAATAAGTTACAGATGAGTTGTCTTTGAGTGAAAGGAAGACATTTAAATTAAGACTTACTGCAGCTATGTTTGTTACAGTCTTTCAGACTTAATTATATAGCAGTTAAACAATAAGACAAAGTAATCTAAGTTTTCGGTAATGTGCTGCTTATTTTGAATTATGTATTGTAAACCTGCGTACTTTTTAAATGTTCTTATTTAGTGCATTGATTCTCATTTTGCTTATTCTTATATTTTATTCTTAAAAGGTGTCTAAATGTCATCTCTTAAATTTATTACATGTGAAGCGAATCCACAGATATTCTTACCCGATTTTTATTCTCGCAAATGTTGCTCGTAGTCAAATACTTCCAATTACATCTTTTTTTTTTTTTTTTTTGTTTTGTTTTGTTGTTGTTGTTGTTGTCGTTTTTTGTGTTTCAAATGAGTAGATACTGAACTTCGAAATTTTAAAATTATAAAATACTTTCGCAAAAATTATGAAATCTAACTTTTTATACCTTTCCATAATCGCAATTTTCCCATGGAAAATTTTACGCTCATTATTAAAAAAAAACTGACGGCTTTCAGATTTTATATTACGTCCAAAGGGGCGCTTTTTTAACGTTTTGTGTGTTACCTGTATTTATTAAATATCATGTTCTTCGCACTTAAACCATAAATTTCAGTTTAGTAGCAATGTCGCAAAATAATTTTAAATTGAGCCTATCTTTAGAATTTCCGATAAAGAGTCTCGCGCGCTGGAGATAAAAATGTTTTTTCTGTACGACTTTGCCATTGCTCGCTTTGAAATCATTGAGTTTGTTCATGAAAAATTCGTTAAAGTTTTACAAACTATGAAATCGATAATAAAAGAAATTCCAAATTTAAAATTTGGGCTTTCAGATGCCCATATTCGCAGTGGGATTAAATCATTCAAAATTGGATGGGATGGCTCTTTATCACAATGTGAGAAACATACATACATTGATGCAGTTTCTTCATTATTTCATTTCTTCAGATATAATAGAGGGCGATAATACTTGGTGGCAACAGTTTGAAAAGTGAAACGGACATTCAGTGTGATTAGACGCAGAATCGCAAAGCGAAAACAATAGCCCCCTATGGACTGAAAAAAATATGAAGGAAGGTTTCAGATTTTAACCGTCTCCCAAAAGGGTTTGTTAAGGTTTTCCGCGCTCTCGCTGATTTCGCTGTCTACCAGTTTGCTGTTACACACTTGTGCGTCACCTTTATTTATTAAATATCATTTTCTTCCCACTTAAACCATAGAACTCAATTCAACAGCAACATCACAAAATAATTAAAAAGAGCATATCTTCAGAATTTCTGATACACAGTCTCGCGCGCTGGAGATAAAAAATGTTTTTTTCTTTCAACTTCACAGTGTTGCCATTGATCACTTTGAAATCGTTAAATCAAAAACTCATAAATGCTTAACAAAATATGAACTAGATAATAAAACAAATTCCAAATTCGGGGTTTACAGATGCCCATATCCGGGTGGAGGACTACGTTATTCAGAATTTGATATCTTATGTACCTGTTTTTTACAGTGCGAGATACATTCATGCATATTCTTCATTATTTAATTTCTTTAAATATAATGCAAGGCTGTAATATTTGGAGACAACAATTTGAAAAATGAAACGAAATTTTATAGTGGACGACGGAAAATGCCAGAAAGAAATTAATTCTGATCTTACGCTCCTTCGAGCTAAAATCACAAAATCTGTGACTGAAGTACGGCAAAAGTTGACCGAGATTTTTATTTTAAAGTTGGAGATTATATTCAAGTGCCGTACACAAACTGAAGATCAAATTGTTTGCATTTATTTGTGCGTAACTAAAAATAAAGTATCACATTCGAAACAGGTTTCTGATTTTAAGAGAAATTATTATATTAGATATTAAGAGTGATTATTATATAGATATTAAGAGTGACGAACATTTCTATGGATACTGTCGTGTATTTATCAATATCTTCTTTTTCAAAAAGATCAGATTCACAGAATCTCACAGAATTTCTGTTCTAGGAAAACTATCGTAGGTTCTTGAATGTTTGTAAATAAACATTATTTGCATGGATTTAAAATTTAAAATATTTCTAGCGCAATTATTTTGTTTTCGTACTTTTATTACATTATGATTCTAAAGCAGTAAAATTTCGTGAAAACATTAATAATGTATTTTTAACGTTTGAAAGCTTTCGTGAAAAACTGTTTCGGCAATACTGTTTACAACAAAATAATAAATTACTGGATGTTCGCTGAAACCATCGCGGCGAATACATCACGGAGGAAACGTCGCTGAGGAAACAACGCAAGGCGAAAACGTCGTCATACAAAACATCGTGAAAGAAAAGCAAGCAAGGAGAAAACATCGCAGTTCTAAAATGCGTGGTACAGAATATCGCCGTCGAAAATAAAGCGACTCAAAAACTTCTCAATTTAAAAATAATCATTGTCAAAAATATCGTGGTAAAATATAAAGCACCTACATTATGCTGAAAGAAATAAAGAGGAAATTTAAGCATTCAAAAACTGGAAACGATGTAAAAAAATAATGCTAAGTATCACAGTTAATATAATTTTAAGTTTACATAGTTAACTAATAAACGTCAGTCACTAATTAATCTCTCGAGTTTTGTTGGTAATTTTTCATGAAAAGTTTATAAAGATAAAAAAAAAAAAAAAAAAAAAAAAACTGAAATGTTTCAGATTTTAAATTACGTCCAAAGGGGCGTTTTTTTAACGTTTTGAGTGTTACCTTTATTTATTAAATATCATGTTCTTTACACTTAAACCATAAAATTCAGTTCAAGAGCAATATCGCAAAATAATGTCAAATTAAGCATATCTTTAGAATTCCGATATACACAGTCTCGCGAGTTGGAGATTAAAAGTATTTTTTTTCTATATAACGTTGCCATTTCTCGCTTTATAGCATTGAGTTGTAAATCAAAAATTCGTTAAAGTTTTACAAAATATAAAATCTATAATAAAACAAATTCCAAATTTGGGATTTCAGATGCCCATATTCGCAGTAGGATTTCGTCATTCAAAATTCGATGACTCTATGTACCATTGTTTTATCACAATGCGAGAAATAGACAATCATTTATGCAGATTTTTCATTATTTAATTTCTTCAAATATAATGCAGGACTCTAACATTTTGTGGCAACAGTTTGAAAAGTGAACCGACGTTTTATGAGTCCGACGCAAAATCGCAAAACGAAAACAATAGTCCTTCAGGGACAAAGCCCCTTTGGACTAAAAAAAAAAAAATTAACAAAAGATTAAAAAAATAGATATTCAAAAACGATGGTGAGTAACTGCATGTGGTTACTTCTATTAAAATTTTTAAATTATAAAATTCTATTAACTACTGTATAGCATTAACAGTTTCATAGTCAACAGTTCTACTCATTTTCAGTTTTGGAATGCTTAAGTTTCCTTCTTAATTTTTCAGCGAAAATTTATTAGTTTATTCAAAAATATAAAAGTAAAACGATTCCTCATTCCTTCTTGCGCTCACAAATCATTAAACGAATATGCATTTAGAATTTTTAAAGTGTTAAAAACGCATGCCTGCGATGCTTTCGACATCTGATGACATCTTTTGTACGACGCCGTTTTTAGACTTGCGTTGTTTTCTCAGCGATGTTTCGTTCCCGAGATGTTTTTCCTGCGATGTTTCCGACTGTAACCAATTAAAGAATGTGACACACTAGTATATATATATATATATATATGTTACCGTGAAAGACCAAAATTGGAGAATGTCGACTTTCACCGGAGAATATCAACATTCACCAAATACGTCGGTGAGAGACCGAATATTTCACTACATTCTTGTATATTCGAACCCTCACCGGTGTATGTCTACAATCACAGATATGCTCTGGTGAAAGTCGAAAAGAGAGGTCATAAAGTGCCATAATAGTTTAAGTTGTTGCAATAAATAAGATTTGAATCACATAATTTAGTAAGTTTTTTATGACTGTTATTTCATTTTCTCATTTAAAACGTACTGTATAATGAAGTAAGTTTTTAACTTGTATTATTTTCCTTTCTCATTTTGAATGTATTGTGTGTTTTAGGTTCTCGTGTTCTTAAGTTCTTATTTCAAGTTTCCAGTGCGTTTATTCGCGACTGAATGACGGAGAAGAAATTATAATATTGTTATATGTTCAACATTCACCATTAATACATGGTGAATGTCGACATTGACCGGTGTAAGTCAGAAATAAGAGTATTTGGAAAATATTTCGGACATACACCAAGAGACTATGTGAATGTTGACATTCACCGGTGAAAGTCGACATTCTCCAGATTTCGGTGTTTCACCGTAACATATGTTTATATATGTATATATATATATAAACTTGGAAGGGGGAAAAATCAACTTCCAGCTATTCTCAAATACTAACTATTACTAACCGAACCCTCAAGGCGAGTTGAAAATGACGTCAAATCTTCCAAAGTGTTTGAAATTAAATATCTCGGGCAATTTTTGTCGTACGATTGTCAAACATTTGTGTTTCCTTCTTTCGTAACGAACATAAAAACGGAAGGGGAATAGTATAAAATGTTAGAATTTGTTATTTTTCTAAAACTGATTTTTAAATTTTGTTTTAAGCTGCATGTAAAAGTTTACAGTTTATTATACTTATAAAATAGGAATTATTTATATGTTTATTAATATTTAAATTATTTTTTTTATTTATACAGTATTGTAGCGAAGTAAGCATTCTTATTAACTTTTCTGCGCTTATATGCTTAAATTTCTTTTCCAACTTCGTGGATCCCGTGATTTCGCCAGATTTTAGCTGTTCTTTGCCGTTAAGTTTTTGGCATGGTAATTTTTAATCACTTTCCAAAATTTTCGCAAAATTCTTTAAGATAATTAAAATTATAAAACACAGTATCAGATCTGGGTTAAAATAACGCCCCGAATAACGATTATTGGAGAAGCTAAAGCAACGAGAATCAGCATAATTTTTTTTCATAAAATGAAACGAAATTTTCATTTATTTTTATATACTAAGTTTTTTCATATAAAAATATATATTATATATTTATATATTTTTATATGAAAATTTTGCCAATTCTTATTACCTTAGATTTTCCAAAAACCGTATCAGTTTTCCATCATTTAAATTTTGAAATATATTCATTTCGCAAAATATGTAATTTATAAAATTACTTACATAATAACTTTTAGTTTTTCATCCTGTAAAACTTTCTTAATGACGTCTTTCTGGGCATTTTGAAATATGGGTAGTAATTTGTAGAAGGCTGATGCTGACTTTATTTTAGCTAAGTTTTTGTCCCTCAAGCTATCTTGATACTTGGTCAAAGAATCTACTAGCTGTAAAATAAGAGCCAAAGAAATTAAATGTGTGTATAAAAATACTCTTGTCTTAGAATTCTTATTTTATTTTAATATAATACATTTTGTATTTATTTGACGCATAAAATAAAAAGGCATTTGTTTTTTAAAAAAGCGACTTCCAGTCGTATGGGATAACGCTATAAAAGAGCTCGAATCTTTATTAAAATTCCTGATGAAAATTTGACTGTTTAAAATGCTATACAGAGAAATTATTACAAAGAAGCGTCAGCATATTTCGTCAATAATCGTCAGCATATTTTTTCCCCTCTATCATTTAATTTTTAAATTAATTGATATAGAATGGTTTCGTCTTCTCTGTTAAAGAACATTTTCAAAAATTCTTTGACAAACTATACTAGAGTTATTATAAACAAGCTTTTAAAAGTGTGTTTCCTTACAAGATAAAAAACCAATATTCATTAATATTAAAAGTAAGTTTTTGAATTTCGTCCAAATTTTAAATTTCGAATTTATTTTAAATCTAATTCATTATTTGTTAAAGTTTGAAGAATTTTTTGTTGACAAACGCTCGGAGATTTAAAACTCACGTGTTTCTACTGCTCGAAATAAAAACATTTTTATCTTCGTGTCAGTGTGTTTCCATTCGGCAAAGTGTAAAATATTTAGTTTTTAAATTAAGTCATCCAAATCGCTGTTTAAAAACCATGTGTTGCCTTTGGCAAAAATAATACCTTCCACTAGCTGATGAGTGTCTGTTGAGATATTAATTTATCATTTTAATCCGCCCATTATTACTTAACAAACTAAGCGATTTAAAAGCAGTAAATGCAGTTCTAAATAGCGTTTTATAAATGCTTAAGCTATTGATTTAAATAAAATGCATTTCATTCATGATGTTGTACCTCATTAAAAACAGACAACATAATTCATATGTTGTCTGTTTTATTGTTTATGATTAGTTGATTGTTTATGATTGGACAAGCATAATTCATATGTTTGTTCGATCTCTTGGTAAATGATATATTATGTTTGGTCTTTTATAATGTCTTTTACTTCACTGTAGTTACATTTTGAAACTTACTTTGAATACAAATCGTAAAAATTATAGAATTGAAACTCGGGATCTGCAGTACCCATTACTGTTATCCAAAGTCTGTTCAACTCCGTGCCCAGCTGTATAACAAGTACTATCGTTGCCAGAAGAAGATGCTCGAGAATTATTCATGTTCTGTAACTCAAAATTATCTGAAATTTTAATTATTTTATCCTTCTATTACAAATTATTTTTAAAATAAACATGATTCTGGTAACTGCTTTCCTTCACAGTATTACAATTTTAATGGCCAACCATGCATAATGTTTGTTTTAATAAGGACTTGATTTCTAACGCCCAACCGCGATAGCGGTTAGCGACGCTGACTGAGGTACCGAAGGGTCCTGGTTCGAATCCTGGGAACTACACAGCTACTATCCATTTACAAATATCCATGAAGGCATGGATATTTGTAAATGGATAGTAGCTGTGTGGCAGGGGGTACTCTAAATATGCGGCCAGCCGAAAGTTCTCTCGAGAGACTGGTAATAGGGGAAGAGGAGTGGAAGACCCTCGGACCCTCCCTCTGAGGTGCTCTCCTTCAAAACTAGGGGCGGAACTGAGCAAAGTCGTACTGTCACCTATATGGTGCCCAAGGGCTCTTGCCAACGACAAGCGTAATGATGAATTTCGTGGGCCTGCTCTGATATCAGATAAGGCAGATTAGTCACAACAACATTTTTTTTTAAATCTGTCCCGTACTTCTATTATTTCGCCTACTCCACCAGAGGTTCGTCCCACTTAATGAGAGGCATTCAAATATGTTTTTGATTATTGCAAAGCCCTCGATTGCTATCTGCCTAAGGGGGAGGGATGCCTTCATGGAGGACTTGTTAAAGAAAGCTGGCTCGGGAAACCTACGAAAACGGCCATGCAGCCAGCCTGTTCGCCGAGATTCGATCCCCGGACCCCCAACTTCTTTCTAAGCAGCGCGCACTAATTTTTCGAAAGTCGCTTTTGTATTCTGTGCACAGTGGTCTTGTTCACCAACTTTTATTTCCGTTTATAAAAGAATTGCATCAAAAAGTGGCAAAAATCGAAATTTCACAAAAAATAGTAGAATTTTGAATGTCCAAAAAAATTTTTGAAATCGGCCTGTGGCAGAAATTTTACTTCAAACACAGGCATAGCACCCCCCAGACACACGCTTGAACACTTCTGCCCTTATATACTTTTGTAAAACGCATTCAGCCCAAAAATTAGAAGAAACATTACCGGACCGAAAGACCAGTGGTCAGCTACTTTACCGCTTGGTCGCCGGTGGGTGCGTTCTTAATAGGAACAAGAATTTAAGTTTAAGAGACAGGATTTGTAACTTCAACCGTCTGGCCGTAATAATTCATCTGTAGTTGTTCAGGCAACAATAGCAACTAATAACGTCATCAGCACTTTTGCTACCAGTTCGTTAGTTTTTATTTGCTACTTAAAGATTTCTTTACAAGTGTTGAAATAGCAAGATCAGTTGGATAGCAGCTGTCCATCCGTGAGAAACGGAGGTTCTAATTGATTATGTTATTTCTGTACTTCAAAGCTTTTACTGTTGCATTTACTTAATACTGTTGCATTTACTGTTATACTGTTGCATTTACTTAATGCCCTGGTGGAGACACAGAAAGCTGATGAGGAGAAAGGAAACAGAGAGAACTATTCTCCTCTCCCATTGCTTCCTACAAAACCCGTTAGAACACAACTGATTGAACATCCTGATGAGCCCAGGAACCTGCATCCGTCTTTCGATTATTGTTCTATGTACCACCAGTGTTTTCGATAGTTTGTGGATGGTTTAATACAGTTCAGTTTCGTATTCCGGTTCACAATTTCATCCGAAATCCTTGATAAACGTACATAACCTTTCTGACGTACCCTTTCTGTGTAATCTTGGAATTTCTATAAGCGGCGGCAAGTTGGCTACCATCAACTGCATCCTCTTCATAAACTTGACAAAAGCTACGGCAAGTTTGGTCTGCAGAATTCCTTTATGGAAGTCTTATAATAAAAAAAGTCTGACGTGCTTCTGATGATTGGTATTTCAACCAATGTATTACTCTGTAACCATGTATTATTCTGATGAACCAACTATTTGTATATTCTCTATATTCCTCTGTTTTGTTTATAAAATATTACATTTATTTAGTATCAGCATTAAGTTACCCAATCAAAGTTTCCATGTACAAAACTGCCAGGCAATGTATGTAATATATAGCTGTAATAAAATGATCATTCCTTACAAAATGAGAATAGCTGCAGGTAGATACCTTACCAGTGGAATTCAGAACTTGGAGAACCTGCAGAACATTATCTACGTAAGATGAAAAGACATTTTTGCACATAGGTGCAAAAATGTTGTTTGCACGTATGTAAATTTTGTTGTTATTGTTGCTAATGCTCACTTGTCTGGCCTTTAGTCAGCCCAAGCCCATGAAATTCTTGGTGGCAAGGAGCGCAGGTTCACGCCTGTCGTTGACAACAGCACCTTACAGGTAGGTGACAGTGCGATTTAGCTCAGTTCCGACCCCAATTTTGATGGAGAGCACCTTAAAAACACTACAAACTGACCACTGACCCTAGGACTTAACGAGTCTTTCGGTGTAATTATCATGTTGGCAGCTAATACCTGTTATCCGTAGTTACAGCTAGCAGGCAGCATGACATTTTTAACGATTCTCCAAAAGGTTACAGTGGCACATATACATACAGTTTTACACAGACATTTCTAGATATAACACCATGCATTTTCGATGCTTAGGATGTTAAATACAGCTGTTTATTATGACTTAGCTTAGCAGTTACATTTTCCTATTTGTTGGATATTACTAAAGATTCATTTTGCTAAACACATTCACAAGGTTAACAAAGCACATTACTAATTAAATACAAAATTTACAGTTGCACAAGGTTAGCAGATCCCGTAATGAATTAAATACAAAATTCACACTTTTATATAAATAGTTATAACAGAATCGATTAAAATCAGTATACTCAAATGACCAAAGTAAATGCACTTATTATAAAACTACACCTACATACATTAGAAGTTACTTAACTGTTGAATAGAGAATAATAAATTTGCCTATAGGACTTGTAGAAGATAACATCTACTTTCTACTTTCTTTAAAACAAAAAATATAAGGATGATTGGACTGATCAACCAAATGAATTACATTAATAAAAGTAGATATGTTTTATAGGGAGATAAAAATTAGGAAAACAAAAATACAGTGATACTATTCAGGTGACATAAACACTATTAAGAATATATTATACAGATACACTAAAATAATACTCCCTCAGGCCCACAAGATGCTACAACAGAATTTCTAATTATACATAAACGTTACAGGTTTGAAGAAACGAAGGTAGGTAAAGTTTAGTCCCAACCGGGGCATATTGTGCTGCACAATATTTTATGGTTTGTGATAGTTAGTTAAGCGCGGTTTTATTTTCTAATAAATTTTAATCCACATGTGCCAGTTATTTTAACCCGGTTTTTTACAAATGTGCTTGAGAAGTATTACTGCAGTGAAACAGGAATGATCTAGATCTCCCACTTCACCGCAACTGCAGTTAACCGAGCTACGGAGATTAAATCTTTTAAGGTAACTCGGAAAAGGACCTTGCGTCGTTAGAAACTCAGTCAGGATAGCAACTGTGAGTTATAAACTTGAAGTTTACTTTTGGGTAAAACTTGAATGTTCTGCATTCGGTTGTGGACTCAGCCCATCTGTTCTACCACATTCTTTTGAGTTTTGCGGATGTGATTTTTACTTCCTTGTACGAAGTAAAAAGGAAAGTATTGTAATCGCGAAAAGTTTCAGGCAGCATATTTCAACGAAAATATCCATTTTGACCGCTATCGAATGCAATTTAACGATGTTTTTGCGTGATATCTGTACGTAAGAACAGAATAAAAGACTCGTTTCCTCCCAAAAAATGATAAAACTGCTTTAAAATGAATTCTGAAGAGAAGTTTTTGTGGCGTCTGTACGAACGTATGTACGTACGTGCTTACGTACGTATCTCGCATAAATCAAAAACGACTAACCTCAGAACGTTGAAGTTTTGTATATAGGACTGCTATAACATGTAAATGTGCACCTCGTATTTTGTTTGCAGTCGGCCGCACCAAACGTATATAAATATATTTATATATATATCCACTCTGTTACCCGGCTCAGTGATCTCAGTTTCTTTACTCGTATATGTTTGTAAATTGTACATTTTTTGCTTTAAAAATGATTTTGTTTTATCTTCCGGTTAAGGCATTTATGCTTTTAGTAAATCTGTATGCAATATTTTTAGAATTATCAACAATTTTAAAGTTGTTTAAGTGCCGCTAAGCATTTTTTTTATGGCGGCCATTGATTGTTTACATTTGCTACAGCAGACTAGTGGATTTGTTGCCAATCTAGAGAAACTTAGCTTCGCAACAACAAAGATAATGCCTTCATTTATTATTGCCAATTAAATCATGCTTAATCCTTTCTGGATTTGTTTCGAGGAAATAAGTGTTTATGATTTACTTCGTAATTTTGAATACAGATATTTTGAGTTTTTATGTATTTTTGCCTTCTCGCGAAGTGAGAACTGAATTAATTTAATGAGAAATACTCAATCATCTGTGAAAAACTGTTCCTTTTTTGTTTTGTTTGCTTAATTTCTTTTATACATCGTGCTTTATTATAGTATTTGAATAGAACGTGTGGCAACGATTAGATAATTCTGTTCTTTAAATGATATAAATTTTGTGCATTATGAGTTATAATATGAACGAAATATAATACTGTTAAGTGAATCTAGCCCCAGAGTGTCGCTATGGTGTACACATACTAGAGTGAATTTTAAAGAATGCTTTTATTCTATTGTGGTTTATGCGGTGTCGGCGAAGTAGATTTAATTCAGTCCAATAAGTTTAAATGAAATGCAATAAAAAATGCGTACAATTTAATATTCCGTACAAGGAAGTCATGTGGTGTACACATCAGATTTTTTTCAGATGAGACATTGGTAATTTTATCGGGTATTTCTGTTGTGAGATATTATTCGATTCGCAGTTTGTTTCGCTAATTCGTCTGCTTGCTCATTGCCCTGAATACCAACGTGTGCTGGCACCCAGCAGAGCATAGGTCTTTGTGCAGAGGGCAGTTTGTAAGCAGGCGTTTTATGCTATTAATTAATTCGCTTTTACTTTTTTGGCCTTGTATCGCTGCAAAGCTGGAGGTTCAATCGCTATATATCACCGCGCTATCGTTTCTTAGGTTGATAGCTAGTTCGATGGCTGCTTTCAGTTCAGCTTGAAAGACCGAGTTGTTGATATTCAGTCGTCTAGTCCAAGTATTTGGAGAGCATCCCGGGAGGACAGGTCTGAGGGTCTCTCAACCTCTTATCCTACCACAGAGGAGTTTCGACTCACCGCATATTTAGAGTTCCCCCATGATGCACAGACACTATACATTTACAAACATCCATGCCTTCTCCAGGTATTCGAACACGGACCCTTCGGCACGGCAGGGGAGGCATGGATAAGTGTTTTGTTGTATACGTAATTTTTGCTTGATGGCCGGGATGAAAGATCTCTTGGCTATTTACAATGGAATTTTGTGTTTGCTAAATTATTGTTATTTATGTTCACATTTATAATAATATGGATTAAATACTTACATTGCTGGATGAACTTTGTTTAATTGCAGAGTCAGCAGAAATGTGACCTTCTTTTAAAGTACCTAGAACAAATTTATTATAACTTGATAGGCACAAGTATTTAATTTTTTAATTACGTAAGCAATATGATCCCCGTATATGAACTGTTATGCAGAAAAAATTAAACTTAAAATAAATTTGGAGTATAATAATCAGAACTTTTCATTAAATCTCTAACAACTTCTGCAGGACAAACACATTAAAATAACCTCATTTAAGCTCTGAAATCTAAAAACTGGTGATTGTAGTTCAACTAAATTACATAAATCATCATCAGTCATCAAAGTAATTCAATTCAGAACTCGAATTCAAACTTATTGAATCAACAGCTTGAAAGGAAAGTGGGATAAGTTCTTCTCTAGTGCCTTTATAAAATCAAAACATTATTTTTCAATAAAAAATTCTAAAAATGCTATCTATCTTCCAAAAATTATGCATCCTCCCGACTATCCTGAAAACACGTCATATCTCATACAAAAGCCAATACATAATAATCCCTAAGCTATACAGATAGCCACAAACTCATTTCACTGAAATGCAAATAAAACTCATCAAGATAGCAGGATGGAAAACCCTACATGTGACATAATTCATAGCAGGATAGAAATCCGCACATGAAGCACCAGTTTACATTACTAATAAATAAATTAATACTACAATTGTTTTGCAATTTCCTCGGTCCCCTCAAATGATTAAAACACCGTGTTTCTATTGCACTGTTGTTGTCGCGTCAATGATGAAGCCCATTCAAGTAATGCCATGGGCGAAGATGACAGTCCAATCTGCAAAATGTTATCATCGTAGAGGCAATCTGCAAAATGTTATCATCGTAGAGGTTCGGTCTTGTGAACAAGACGCCAATTTTTAACAATTCAGCAAGGATGGCCGGTACAAGCAAAAATGCGTGCAGTTGTCATTTCTGTGTCCGGGCAGTTATCACAGCTCCTGTAGGTTTTGCCACCCACTCTGTCAATTTTCAGTCCTCTGTGATGACTTAATCTAAGACTGACTATGGTTTCAGTTACAAGTCGATTGCTATTGATATTATGAAGCTGGTGCTTTACTGAAATTGAACGTTCCTTTAATCTGTATTTGTATATCCATGCCATTTGCGTCCGAGAGGGTGGCATCACGTTATTACTGTTATTGTTGAGTCTATTATAATCTTCTCTACATATAATAAAAGAAAGAGTCTGTCTGTGTGTGTGTCTTTCGTTCTCGCTGCGCTTAAGCTAATAAACCCACGGCTACGAAATTTGGTACATAGGTGCATCTGGATAAGAGCCAGTACACCTCGAAGCGATTTTTTCGAAATTCGAATTCGAATTTTTTTTATTTTATGTTTCGTGACGAAATCGCGTCATTTTGAGATATAATGGGCTATAGGAAAGCGAGATTTTTTACTCTACACACTCCATTTTCACATCGTCACGAAACGCAGGCACTTAGCTATTTTACAAACTTAAAATAAATTTCGTGTTTCAATAAATCGATTAAATACGAATTTATTTAACAAAGGGAGCTTAACACCTTTTCAACGGGATATTTTATAAAAAAGTTCATTTTAAAAAATGTACAGTTTATTTTTCTTTGATTTTTGGACACGTTAAACTTTCATCCTTGCGACTGCTTTTACAAAAAGAATTTTGGAAAAATGATAATATTTTGTATTTAAATTTTTTTTTTAAATGAAGCTTCCGAGTACACTTCTCACATCTTTAAAAATGTGGTTTTGGCAACAATTTTCCTTTCTTATTGTTGTTGATAGATTTTTGATGAAATTGCATCATTTTGAATAGTTTCATTCTTTTAGAAATATAGGTTTGGCACAATTTTTCATCGTATTTCTTATGTCACTGTTTTTAAGAGATTGGCATATTTCATTGTCATATATATATAATAATACTTTTTTTTTTTTTTTTTTTTTTTTTTTTTTGATAAAGATGTTCTGCTGAGTAAAATTCTGCGCGGAAGTTTTTGTTTTTTGAATTTCTTTCATGTTATTTTTTGCTTATTTCACTGTTTGTAAGATATTGAAAAGTTTTGCATGATGTTTTTTCTTCAACGGAAAGTTGGTTAATTTTTTTTTTATTAGGATAATTAATATTTGTATTAAGGGATATAGCTGATTTCATTGTAATTTTTTTCTCTTGAAAATATAAGATAAAATATCATTAATTATACTTTCCTTTTCAGAATTTTTTGTTTTTTATATTCTTTTATGTTATTTATTGCTCATTTCACTGTTTTTAAGATGTTGGTTAATTTATTTTATTAGGGTAATTAATATTTGTATTAAGAGATATAGCTTATTTCATTGTAATTTTTTTCTCTTGAAAATATAAGATAAAATATCATTAATTATACTTTCCTTTTTATTTATTTATTTATTTATTTTTGTATTCTTTTATGTTATTTATTGCTCATTTCACTGTTTTTAAGATGTTGGTTAATTTATATTTTATTAGGATAATTAATATTGTATTAAGGGATATAGCTTATTTCATTGTAATTTTTTTCTCTTGAAAATATAAGATAAAATATCATTAATTATACTTTCCTTTTCAGAATTTTTGTTTTTTGTATTCTTTTATGTTATTTATTGCTCATTTCACTGTTTTTAAGATGTTGGTTAATTTATTTTATTAGGATAATTAATATTTGTATTAAGAGATATTGCTTATTTCATTGTAATTTTGTTATACGTAATAACGTTTTTTTATGAAGTTGTTCTGCAGAGTAAAATTCTACGCAGTTTTTAAATTTAATGTTTCCTTCAGCCATTTTTCCGGTACATTTAAAAGCCAGACGAAGGCTGGCAGCGAAGCTGCTAGTAAATAATAGTTATATTTATAAATAAGCCGAGGTAATCATCTCCAAGTTTTCATAAACCTTGCGGTTCAAACAATTTGAGTGACAAGGTAGACCATAAATTAATATAATACATACAAAGATTTAACAATAAACACATTTATTATTTCTAGTTTATTATAAGTTAAGACAGCTGGCCAGACTACTACAAATTTTTAACAGACATTATATAAACATATTCAGGGGCTGAAATTTCAACAATTTATCTTAACTCATTAGTTAAAAACACTTCTGTAATTCTTAAGCAAGGATTTGTAAGAGACACCGATATTTGCTTATTATTATTGATTCAGTTTACTCTTAAACATCCAATTTCAATCACAGATACGTATAAATGATTAATTTGAATTACTATCAACGATATTAATTTAGCATTACCGTTAAGTTTTTCCTGTTACAGAGATTTATAATGTATTTCCTCCTTCCTTTCTGCTTTCCTTCGGGGTGTAACTGAAAGCACGTCCGACGTGTAATCAAGGATGTACGATATTCGCTTTAGGACGAGATGTATTGCGGATGTCTTGACATTCCTGCATAGATATAACCTAATAACTTTAAAAGTGGCTCCCGAACCAAAAAGTGGATTTGGGGATTGGGTCCACTCATCCGAAGTTATCCATTAAAACGGGACAGGTATTTTCTCCCTCTTTTCCGCGTGCCTTCGTGGTGTAATTGGTGTAAATAAATACATAAAGTTCATTTTTCAAAATTGGAAACGTTTCTTTCAGTATGAAACAATACTGCGCTTTCTTTGACCAATGCTGCACTCAGAATGAAAAATAAAGCAAAATCGCAACAATATTTTGTTCTAGAAGTGAATAAACAGTGAATGAAAAAATCGCATTTAGAAAGAAATTTCATTAATCATCTTGCTTTATAGATTTCTCTTGACCAGCAACGAAAATTAAGGCTTAGCACTGTGTTAATAAAAACCATATTTAAGATAGTGGACTAAGACTCCCTTCAGCCGTATCGTTAGTTTGCTCAGTATTCAACACGTTGAAATCGATTAAAAAGTGTAAACTTAATAAATGATATATTTAACTGAAAAAATTATAGAACTGAAAAAATAATAGGTGCAAAATTTTCGACGTGGAATTGCATTAGCTACAATTCAGTTCCTAGCATTTGTTACTTAAATCCCATACATTTTTATTTCGGCAGTTAATTGTACAAATATTTTATGAAGAACAGAAAGAAAATACGCATCATCTTTACCTGGAAATGACTTATTTATTTCTTGCAGAACCGAATCAAGATTTTCATCCGAGAAAATATGCTTTTCTTTTCCTTCATCATGTGACGAAAGCTGAGACCTATAAAAAACATTTTTTGAGTTTTGGTTTTTATTTTAATGCATTTAAAACAAGTCTTAAAGAGCCATGTCTTTTAAGGTGATTTATTAGATTGATTTTTATAGCTTACATAAGCAAACAAATGCTTGAATCTTAAAACATAAATAAGAACAATTATACGAGGGTTGGTGCAAACGTCATGGTAACTACTTTTTTCTTGTGGATATGTGAACGGATCACAAAACATATACAGTGGATAGACAAAAATATGGAAACACCTTGTGAAATGTATGTTTGAAAAGAAAGATTGATTTTAATGAAATATGTAGGTGGCGCTGGCGTTTTTGACTACTGACGCCACCTATACAACTTCGTAAATGTGCTAAACAGTTCAGTTGTTGTCGGAGTACTGTTATGTGAGGTTGTCATTGCATTATGTCAGAGTTAACAGACTTCGAACGTGGGCAAATTGTTGGAGCACGTATGGTAAGTGCTTCTGTAAGCAAGGTAGCCGAGGTGTTTAGTGTTTCAAGAGGTACTGTATCGAAGATTTATTCCGCATATTTGAAAAGCGGAAAAACATCATCTGCTAAATCACAGCGCGGCCAAAAGTGTGTCCCGAGTGATCGTGACAGACGATCATTAAGGGCAATTGTGACAAAAAATAAGAAGACCACAACAGCAAAAGTTACTGCTGAAATGAATGTTGTGTTACCGAACCCTGTGAGTACCAAAACAATTAGAAGGGAGCTTCATAAACAGGAATTGCTGGCCGTGCTGCAATTGAGAAGCCACTCATCAGTGATGCTAATGCCTGTAACAGGAAAAAGGTGGTGTTTAAGTCATAAAGCGTGGACTATAGAGCAGTGGAAGCGAGTAATATGGTCTGACGAGTCTTCTTTCACATTGTTTCCCACTTCTGGCCGAGTTTACGTCTGGAGAACGCCATCTCGAACCTATAATACAGACTGCTTGTTGCCAAGAGTGAAACATGGCGGTGGTTCTGTTATGGTTTGGGCAGCCATATCGTGGTTCTCTGCTAGCCCCATGATAACTGTGTCAGGGCACATGACTGCCAAGACTTATGTGAACATTTTGGCCGATCAAGTTCATTCCATGGTACAAACTTTGTTCCCCGATGGTGATGGTGTCTTCCAAGACGACAAAGCCCCTGTTCACACAGCTTACATTGTCCAGGACTGGTTTTCTGAGCACGAGGATGAGTTGTCCCATCTCCCCTGTCCACCACAGTCACCAGACCTGAATATTATCGAACCTTTGTGGTCTACATTGGAACGGAAAGTGCGTTCTCGTTATCCACCGCCAACATCGTTATCTGAACTTGCCACCGTTTTGCAGGAAGAATGGTATGATATTCCTTTGGCAAACATACAGGAACTGTATTTATCCATTCCGAGAAGACTGCAAGCTGTTTCGGATGCCAACGGGTTTCCTATACCATATTAAGCGAAGAAACATGTTTTTTTAAAGGTGTTTCCATATTTTTGTCCAACCCCTGTATGTGTCATGTGGAAGTTCTGCAGGCATGTGTATGCAGAACAACAGATGGCTCTGTGATAGCTGGCTGTGTGGTAGCGAGGGCTCTGAAATCAATCAGTTGGTGAGTGTCGTGCGAGATGGAAATAACCAGTGTTGAGCAGCCCGCTTACATCAAAATAGCCGTTCTTCGAGGGGAGAAATGCGATGGAATGTCACAGTGAATTAGTAGAAGCCCTTGGGAATAATGCCATACCATATCGTACAGTAGCACGGTGGGTAGGAAAGTTTCAGCAAGGACGTGGGTCAACTAGTGATGAGCAACGTTCGGGACGACCGGTGAGTGTGCCGTCATCGAGCACCTCATGGATGAAGACAGACGATGGACGTTACTGGAGTTAGAGAGGGCAAGTGGCATCGAGAAACGCACGATCTACAGGATATTGCGTAATGAGCTACAGCTACACAAAATCGCTTCGCGGTGGGCAGCGCATGCACTGACGGAAGTTCAAAGGTGAGTGTGCTATGCAATAGGCTTCGACCACTTTGCACGCTGGCAACAGGACGGCGATCAATTCTTTTCGCGAATAATCGCCATCGATGAATTTTGGATCAGGGCATACAAACCAGAACTGAAATGTCAGGTACAGGTACAGGTAGAAGCTAGGCCAGCACCTCCGTAGTACCGCAGGTAATTGAGGTATTGCTGAACCTAGCTAACTGTTAAACTTTCCACCCCAATTTTGAGGGAGAACACCCCGGGGGGTGGTCCGATGTTCTCCCGCCCCTCTTTTTTTACCATCAACCACTTGGGAGGACTTTCTGAGATAAATGAGTTCTGGTATTAATAGTGTACACAAATCATATTGAGAAAAGACTGTCCTTGAAAAGTTCAACAACTGATGCTTCCAAAAGCAGAAATGTAAGAATAAATGTCTTTTCTAAGGCGGAAGGTGTAATAAGCAAGTCATTGGAGCTCCCGTCCATCAGCATTGCCCGCGGAGTGGCGACATCCTGGATCACCAAGGCAGCAGAAGGTCCGTGAGAATCCTTTTCCAGTCAAATTGATGGTGATCGTCGCGTATGGCGTCACGGGTGCCATTGTTTGCCACTTTGTTCCTCATGGCAGAACAGTGACCGCACGGTACTAGAGGGACTCATGTCAACTTGATGTGTATTGTGTTATCCTTCTTTTGCACGGTGAAGGCCATATTGCCCTGTATATTACCGTAATAAATTCGTGTGTTACGATATTTCAGTGCTATTCATTGTCCACACATGTACTTAAGACCTTGTCTTTTCATCTGTATATGTCACATTTTCCAACCGGACTGGTATCTTCAAGAAAAAAAATGGTTGCCATGACTTTTGCCCCAACCTCCGTATATTAAAAGTTTTAATTTTATGAAGCCTGTACATGCCATTGCAGATCTGGTATTTTGCGAACTTTCTATTTCACTATAAAATCTGTCTCGTGCAAAAATCTAAATTTTCATAATTCATCATCAGGAGAAAAACTCTGAGTTACGTTCTGCAAATTTTACTTCCTTGTACGAAGCAAAAGAAGTATTGTAATCGCGAAAAATTTCGAGTTTCAGATTTCAACGGAAATATCCAATTTGACATTCCCAAATCCATTTTGACTATTTTTTTGCTTGACGTCTGTAAGTACGGACAGAAAAAAAGAGCTCTTTATTTCAAAACGAATTGTAAAATAAATTCAAAATGGGTTTCTTCGTGATGTTTGTACGTACGTACGAACGTATCTCCAATAACTCAAGAATGATTAACCGTAGAACGTTAAAATTTTGTGTATGGGACTGTTACAACATCTAGTCGTGCACTTCTCTTTTTATTTCAATGGGCAATACCTCTGGCGAAATAATTACGTCATTATTATTCTGCTAGCTTCTACATTGCTAATATCTCCCCGCTTCGCTTTTTTAAAATGACTGCGCCATTCCTTGTTAAAAACCAATGCAAGTAGCAATTTATTATATTTCATTGTGATTGAATCATAGAAATGCATCGGATTTAATTATGATTGGATAAATATCTATGGGGATTATTTTATATGCGTGGAAATAAAGAATGGAAATTATTCTAGCTCAAGTTTTGTTATCTTCATCTGCAAGCCTTCACCATAAGCGACAACGACTACAAGCTGATTCCTATTCTATGCTTCAAAAACATTACATATATATATATACTTGTACCGGGTGGCCATAATTAAACTGATGGTGCTACAGTGTTCTGTAGCGTGATCTATTTGCGAGAATGACGCCACATTTTCTAGGAAGATTAAACAAGACGGGGGACGAAGGATTCCGCGAAAAAAAAAATTAGTTCCAAAAGTCACCGCTGGTGGAAAATTTGGCGCTGTGTTATAGAAAATAGAGTGTTAACAAATGCAAATTAATGCGGAATAAAATTTATCGTAGGTCCATTCTTCTATGAGAACATTACCCCGACAGGACCGGAAACCTGTTCAGTTACCGGAGAGAAATATCGCCACATGTTGAACAGCTTTGTCATTCCGGCACTTCAGCAAAGAGAATGCCTGGGGGAAATCATTTTCATGCAAGATGGAGCCCCTCCACACGTTGCTGTACGGGTGAAACAGATGCTACGATAGAAATTCACAATAGAAAGAGTCATTAGCCGCTACTTTCCAACTGCATGGCCACCTCGGTCGCCTGATCTTACCCCATGCGACTTCTGGCTTTGGGGTTACCTTAAGTCCAAGGTCTATCAAGGAGTGGTCCAGCACCTGGCTACGTTGAAGGGTAACATATCACGGACTGTACGGGAGATTCCTGCGGACATGTTACTTTCTGCTGTTGTGCATACTGTGCACAGAATGCAATATGTGGTCCACAATAACGGCAGTCACATTGAACCACATTTGAATGCAAAATAAAAGGTAACTTTCGTATGTATTTGCATTTGTTAACACTCTATTTTCTATTACACAGCGCCAAATATTCCCCCAGCGGTGACTTTTGGAACTAATTTTTTTTCGCAGAATCCTTCGTCTCCCGTTTTCAATTTTCCTACAAGATGTGGCGTCATTCTAGCAAATAGATCGCGCTACAGAACACTGTGAGCACTGTCAGTTTAATTATGGCCACCCGTTATATTAGCCCCCTCCTTCCCTTACCTGGTCTTTATTTAGACATATACTTCCAATCACAGAAGTGTTTTCAATGACAAAAATATTCATGTTTTGATAATTTCAAATTTAAAAAAACAATTTATTCTGGACCTAAGAAGGAAATTAACTTTTAATGTTGTCTCTCGGTTCCTATATTTATACTTAAGAAAGCTATATACTCGTTATGAAAAAATAAAAGTACAACACTCGCTTATTACAAAAACTAGCCGGGATACTTAATTTCCTCGATTCTCAATTTTTGATGTCATTTTCAATTTGCCTTAACCTTTTAAAGACGGAATGGCCATTATAGTGGCCATAGAGTCCTTTCTTTGAAAAGACGGGGTTGTCCACTTTAGTGGCCATGTCTTTTTCCCCCATTTTCCAGGCTGAAAAGTGGGGTGAAATGCCAAATTTGACGTCCCTAGGGTTTTAACCACTTATCTCTTTCAAAGGTCTTCCTTTTGAAACATAGATGAACCCCTCTGAGAAACTACACAAAAACTACACACAAGACTCTTTATTGCAAATAGGAAGTGATTTCTTAAAGGGAGGAAAGCATTCCTCGTGCTTTGGTAGCTTTTACTGCTACCAAAGCCCCGGCCTCAAAAGGTTAAGGGATCGGTTCAATTAAGTTAGAATAATTCGAGAAAATAAGTTTAAATGAAATGCAGACAAAAAATGTGTATAATTTGATAGGCGTAGAAGGTGGGTTATAAGGTATTTCTCCCGCCTGTCTAGCGTGCCTTCGTGGTGTAGTGGTTAGCACACTGAGCCGGTATTCCACAGGTCCGTGGTTCGATTCCCGATTGGCGTTGCTAGTTTTTCATCTTTCCAGCTTCCACAATAAAAATCCTAATGTCTCTACGGTGGAGCCCGAACTAAAAGAGTGTTGGATGAGGATTCTCCGCGCCCAGGATTTGGCTATTGGGTCCCCTAAAAAAACTCAGTAGCCCTTTGGAAGGGGGAGTATATAGGGTGGTTCTCCCTCTTTCCTAGCGTGCCTTCGTGGTGTAGTGGTTCTGCACGCTAGGCCGGTATTTCAGAGGTCCGCGTTCGATTCATGGAGAAGGCGGTTGCTAATTTTTCATCTCTCAGGCTTCGAAAAAAATCGCCTAATGTCTCTACAGTGGTGCCCGAACTAAAAGGGTTGTGGTTGCTGATTCTCCGCACCCAGGATTTGGCGATTGGGTCCCCTTAAAACCCAGTCGCCCTTTAAAAGGGGAAGTATATAAGATATTTCTTCCGCCTTCCTAGCGTGCCTTCATGGTGTAGTAGTTAGCACACTGAGCCAGTATTTCAGAGGTCCGGGGTTCGATTCCCGGCGAAGGTGATTGCTAATTTTTCATCTCTCTGGCTTTTCCAATTAACCTAATATCTCTCCAAGTTATGTGATTTATGGTAAAGATCAGAAAAGAAAAATCAGCTTTTAAATGACTAGAAAAAATAATTCTTTAAAAACCAATTAAAGTAATTACTTAGCTCTGATGCAGACAGTAGGTCTTTGCCAGACGTTACTGAACATTTTGACGAAGTCACTTGAGGTGCATTTTTCTACAACGTAGCTACCCGCATTCTTGAGTTCACAGTCAGTTTTTGAATTGTGCTGAACAGTTAGAGATCTCACCTGTAAAAAAAAAGAATATACTCGTTACTCATTTTTAAAGTAAAAAACAGTTTATTTTTTTATTTCAAAACAACAAATATGTTTGGAATTTTCTTAAGCATTTTCAGAATCATTATAATCAAAGCATCATTATAATCATTTCTTTTAAAACTCTGGGTGAATATTCATTTTATTAGACCAAAAGGGGCGTTCGTCTCGAAAAGGCATTTTGCGTCAAAACACTTAAGTATGTTGTATCACTTTTTGAATTGCCGCTTCCAAATATTTTCGCACTGTATTATATTTAAAGAAATTTAAAAAATGAAGAATCTGCATGAATGTATGCGTGTTTCTCGTACTGGTGAAAAAACAACGATACCTAGAGCTATCTGATTTTGAATAACGTAGTCCTCCATCCAAACATGGACACATGGAACACCGAATTTTGAATTTCCAGTTTGTTTTATTAGCTACTTCATATTTCATAAAACTTTAACGAATTTTTGATTAACAAATTCATCTATTTCAAAGCGAGCAGTGGTGACACTGTGTGGGAGAAAAAAAAAGAAACAGTTATCTCCAGCGCGTGAGACTGTCTATCAGAAGTACTAAAGATACGCTGTTTTTAAATATCTTGTGATTTTTTATGATATTTCATAAATAAAGTAAACACGCCAAACGTTAATTATAAAAAGACAAAAATAAGTTTTGTAAAGCCATTTTAGTAACAAAACTGAACATTGATATGATATAATTAGAAAAGACTGAAAAAGGACAAAAAATGTATGGCAACACTTAACGCTGCATCTGGCATTTTAATCATGGGCTGTTATGCTGCTTTTCAATTTTTTTAAAATTTTGCTGATGAACTGTATGCGGCATAAGTGCAAAGAAAAGGATGCTTAATAAAAGCTAAAAAGACAAAAAGAAGTAGAGTGAGTGTAATAGCAGGTTGGTAGGAGTGCGTGTAAAAGCAGACTGGTAGACTGCGAGGTCAGTGAGAGTGTAAAAAAACCTTAACAAACTCTTTTAGACGACAGTTCAAATCTGAAACCTTCCAGATTTTTTTCCTTAATGGATCCTTTTATATAAGTTTGTTATTTTAAGCAACTTCAGTATCATTGTAATCAATGTTCTAATCTTTTAAAACTGTACTTGAAATTCCATCTTGTTGTGATTTTATACTTAACAACATTTGGAGGTGCGTCGTCAAACACAATGATATATAACTCAAAATGCCTGAAAACATCTTTATGAGTAAAAGTGAATGCGCATTGATTAAGCTTCGTGATCTTCATGGATATATGAATAGAACAGACTGTGGATATATTTTGATAACATACAAGTTTTGGGTACATATGATACATACTTGCAAGATACATTTTAGGTTTCATGCACATATCAAAAGCATACGGTTTAATTAAATGCAATATTTATGTTAATTATTTTTTGTTAACTTAGGAAGCATTTGTTTTCTCCCCAAACGCTTTGAAAATTATGTAATAAAAATCCCAATTCATAGGTTTTAAATTTACTTGCTTTTAGTAAATATTTAAGTGTGATAATAAAATGTCTTAAATAAAATGTACTACAAAAGTAGTACGCCTAAAAAATTAATTACTAGAGGTAAAGAAAGATTACTTACTTTTATTAAGGCATTATTGCTTTTCATAAAGTATAAATTAAGTCGCTTTAAACTAATGGATCCCTGTAATTTCATGCAATTTTGAAAAAAATTAAAAATAAAATTTGATAATTCTTTATCAAAGTAGTACCAGACTATTTTCAGGTTTAACTGTTATTAAATTTTTTGATAAAATTTTAAATATAATTTGAAGGAAAGAATTTTGTCTGGTAAAGTGTTGATATTTAATTAATCGTTATTTACGTTATTACTTATTGTTGCCATAGGAAACTAAAGCCGGTATTATTACGCAACTTTCTCTTGAGTGTTTCCTAATTATAGCTTGAAATTAGATTCGTACATTCAGATCTGATCTTTAAGGGAAAAGGTATATACTAAATATAACATTAAGTGAATTTAACGCAGAATAATTACTTTTGAAGAAGGGATGTGCGTCAATAATTCGCGGATCCTTATCCTAAAAAACTAGATATTCTTGTAGGTTTTAGACATTAGTTGTTAATACTGAAATCCCACGTATCAAAACAGAGTGACTTTTTGAAAGGTAGATACTAACTACACTGCTGGCCATTAAAGCAGCTGCAGCATGCAACCAACATCAAATTCCCATGAAAGGTATTATTTACTTGGATATACAAATAACTAGCATACCAGCGCATGCGCACAAAGCAGGTATGAATAACGCCATCAGCACTGTGTATAAACAGGAAAATTGCACAACGGGTTTCCCATTTGGAAATCGCATTTGAACGTTGGTTGTTTGTGCAACGGGAACGTTATGTCTTGTGTAAGAGAGAGAAACTCCTATCAGTAAGTGTCGGAATTTGACCGCGGCAGATCTGCGGCCTATCAGGACAGCTGTTCTTCGTTTCGCGACATTGCTGCTCACGTTGGTGGGATTCTCATGACTATGAGGCGAATATGTACGATGGGTCCAAGAGAGTTTAATGAACGCCGTGCAGAAATACAAAAACCGCGGGTCTCTTACGCCCGAGAAAATATACCTGTTGTTCCCTCGGACTTCTAGGATCGTACAGCCACGTACCATAGTTCTAGTCAGGAACTTGGCTCACGTGCGAGACGAGAAGTGTCCGCACAGATAGTGCGATGAGTCTACAGCAGTACGGTGACCTTTGTTTCGGCTTTCCTTGAATCTGCAGCAGAGACAGTATCAGGTTCAGTGTTCCGCCTTACTTGCTTTGGGAACATGCAAGAACCTGACTCGGAACAGGGAGCTTACTAAAGCTATGTTCAATAAATGTGGGAAGTAGACAGGATACACAGGAAGGGTATACGAAACCCTTTATTTTTCACTCTTTACAATAATTTCCGTACTTCGGAATACAGAGACCAACCACTTGTGGTCTGAACGTAAAAATATAAAAATATTAACTAAACTCTAACTTAACTTTGGAATAATAAACAAGGGCCTACGTGGAAGATTGGCCGTATATTAACAGGAAGCCGTATGTAGTACAGAGAACTGTTAACGCTACAATACGTTTAAAATTATTAAGAGGATTAAACCTCTGGCCTGGAAGGCAACCAGCAACCGAGTAAACTGCTAAGGCACGCGGCCTGCTTCTACTAACTCCGTCCTCTCTTTTGCTTGGCAAAAAGCCACAACTTAAGTACTTGGCGTTCGCCAGACAAATTTGCATAAATAAGTTAAAGCTTTTAATTCTGGCCGGAAGTAGAAAATAAGAAGTGATAGTAAAGATTTAAAATAAAATAAACGTTAGTAAAACTTAAGATCCTTACAACAGGTGTGCCTACAATGGTGACACGAACGACGACATTCAGCACAAGCGTGGCACCACATTAGCTTTTCAGACGAATCCAGGTTCTGCATACATCACCATAATGTACGTATCCGTATGCGGAGGCACAAACGGGAATGAATGTTCCCAGCATGCATTCTTCATCGTCCCGTGGACCAAACACCTGTCGTGCTGGTATGGCATGTCATGGGTACATATCCCAATCACCTCTTGTTCTCATAGCCGGCAATGCGGACAGCCGCCGTTATATTTCTGTCGTGTTAAAGCCCGTGGCTAAGCCCTATTTTAAGGCCTGCGTGACGCCATCTTTCAAAAAGATAATAAAACCACATATTGTCGTTGCTGTTCTGACCTTCCTCCATATACAAAGTGTTCGACTGTTGCTTTCGCCAACACTTTCTCCAGATCTCTCGTCCATCTGGTCATGAGTTGCCAAGAGATTGGCATGCCACCACTCACCAGCTACCACGACTGATTAACTGTCTAATACAGAGCTGAATCTCATAGAATAAATAAGTACCTGTATCTCTCATCCAAGTTCAGTTCAATTAGATGCCTAGCCGGATTACTGCCTTTGTTGTTGCTAGTGGTGACAGCTTTATGTACTGAACTCTGCACGCTGTGTAGCCCAAACAACCCATAAATTTAATCATATCGTTCTCCCATTGTACTGTATATATGCATTATTATCCCATTATTTTGCATACTTAAATTCTACTATTTGGTTTCCTTCGCGTTGTAGGAATTTTAAGGTTAACAGTACCTTTCTTGTATTTCAGCGTTTTCAAATACTGTTTAAGTAGTCCACATAAAATTACAGAGTTACTATTCAAAGTGGGAAAACGCCGAACTACTGGTAATGATGATGATGATGATGTACTACTGGTAATACCCACTAGATGTGACTAAAAACATGCTGAGATGTATAATTTGGTATTATTTTCCATTTGCAGACGTTAGTTTCATCATGCACATTGACATTCCAGTTTTGCACTTAAAGAGGAGATTGTATTGCTACCCGAATTGGCAAAGAGTCTGAATAATTGAATCACTAGCGTGTACATGTCTAAAGCAGATGGCGAATGAAAGTCACTCAAGCACACTGTATAGTTAAAATCCAAGCAGTGTCTCTCGATAAACTCTAACTTGGACTGCCTTTTGATTGGTAGATATCTCCATTTAGGGTGTTGAACCTCCTGTTCTTGAAGTAATTAACTTGAAATTGGATTAGAGAGGCAGTACTTACAGAGGAGAATTGTATTAGTTTTAAGCTGTCCGATTATAATAAATTCTGTCGAAGGGAGGAAATAATAGCAGATAAGTGAGTGTTCTTGACCTAAAGAAAGTCAGAAGAGCAGAACTGTTAAATGAATTTATAGTGCTTATTTGACTCGCATTTACTTCAGTTTAAAGTCTCGCGAGAAAAAAATGGTCTTTTAATAGTGCTAAAATCATTTTATTTAATATATTTTTGTTATATTACGCTGGAAAACTATAATATACTGATTGGGTTTGGTTTTTATTACTGCAATGCACACGAAGGCTATCTGCCTAAAGAAAGGGATGCTTGGTAGAGAACTTTCTAAGAGAAACTGCTTTGTATCCACGTTGCACATGAGGAAATCCATGAAAACTTCTACGCACCCAGTTCATTCGTTTGGAATCGGAATCAGTCGAACTACCAGTATTCAGCGATTTTACCAAAACTGCAATAAAAAACGATCAGAATAAATCCCCTCCCCGTTCTATATAGGATATAGTGAATTTGTGCTTCTTCAAAGTATCGTTACCGCGAATAATTCTGGATATCATATTTCAACAGAAATGTACATTTTGACCGTTTCCGATTATGTACAGACGACCTTTTTTGAGTGACTTCTGTAAGTACGGACGGAATAGAGTTTGTTTCTTCAAAAACGGATTGTCAAAGGATTTCAGAATGGATCTCTTCGTGACATTTGTACGTACATTTATATATTTTTATATCTGTCTCGCATAACTCAAAACCGAATAGCAGCAGCACTTGGAAATTTTTATATAGGACTGCTATAACATGTAGTTGTGCATCTCCCTTTTTTATTGCAGTCAGTAGAACTAAACGTATACATATATATGTGTGTGTGTGTGCGGCCTTTGTTTTCGTAATCATTGGTCGTAGACATATACTTCCGGTCTTAGAGGTGTTTTAAATGACGAAAATATCCCTGTTTTGGCAATGGCGAATTTTAAAAAAAAATAATAATTTTGGACAAATAACAAAATTTAAGGTTTAATGTCGCCTCCCGCTTCTTATACTCATATTTGAGAAAGTTTAGTATTCGTCATGGAAAAAAAATGAAGAAGTTTCACTCCACGACAAAAATTGACCGGAATATTTAACTTCAGAATTTGTAATTTTTGCTGTCATTTTCGACTTGCCTTGAGTTAACTAGTAATAATTAAGTTAGAACAATTCTAGGAAATAAGTTCAAGTGCAGTAAAAATGTGTAGAATTTAATAGACCATATAAAAAGTCATGTGGTGACCACGTCAGATTTTTAATTTCATATACACAAGAAGCATGGGATAAAACGTGAAAAATATAGCTTAAAATGTTAAAACATATACTGCTTTAAGCTTACATGCAAGCAGATCTGCGAAAGTTTAAGCACATATATTTTCGATTCTTTTTTTCAAATGGTTGATAAGAATATTACCTTATGATGACCAATGAAAAGTTTACTTTTCCTAGTGACAAGTTAAAAAAATAAGTGCAGCTGTCTGTGATAGGATACTTACTCCGAATGGCTGTGTTTCTATCTTGTTGTAAAACTGATTGACGCAATTCATTTTCTTTTTCCTAATGCTGTTTTCTCTCACTTTATAAATCACATCACAGGTCCCTGCTACATCGCTCTGAAAATAAAGCAAATAACAATTGTTCGTGATAGCAAATTCTGCTCATCATACATTATAAATGAGTACAAATATATTTTACTGTTTTTAATTTAACATTCAAAAGTTCAGTACCGTAAAAGAATTTTTTTGATTTATTAATGAATTTAAAATTGTTTCCTTCTTTTAAAATATTTATTTAAAGTGTGCTGATTTTTTCATTCTATCAGAAATGTGAAGTATATTTTACGCTTACACTTAATAACTCAAAATGTTTTAAGTACAGAAATAAGTTTAAAAAAACATACATAAACATAGAAATAGTGATATTCATGTATAAAGAGAACCCCCAGGGGAAAAACTGAATTCTATATTTTATCGCATAAATTTAATATCGGGTAAAAATGAAATTTGCAAAATGAGACTATTGTAGAAAATAGCCTCTAAAGGAAGAACGAAAAAAGAGAATTCTCTTTTCAACAGGTGGCATGCAGCGTGAAATGTTATGTTTTTTATGTTACGTTTGTAATATTCATCATTAAGAGTTGGCAACAAGAATTCAGATTTCAAAAAAGATGTAAGACAGTAGGCTGTAATTCTTTTTTCAGTCGTCTGTTTTTGTGTAGATGTACAATGTTTAGTAATTGCTTTCTGTCGTATTCGACATGTAAGATTTATTTGAAATAAAAATGTTTTCTGGGAATATAAATTTCAGTAAAGTTTGTTGAAATTTTGTCTAGGCAAGCTTGGCCCGGAGTAGAAGAGCCTTTCGAAGATAAAAGATAAGTGAAACTTTTTCTCTTAATTTTGAATTGAAAGCAAAGAAATTTATAATCAACTTTCTGATAGTTTTCAAAAACTGTACTGTGTAAAGAGGAAAAACGATCTTTATTTATAACAAAAATAATACGCGTAATAATTTTTTGGAATTTATTTTTATTTTGCTCGTTTAAATGAGTTTAATGAATTTTCTTTGAAATTTTCAAACCGACTCGAAACTGTACAGCGACTGGGGACTGATCGAAACTGAACTATGAGAGATACTGTTGTATGCATGCAAAATGTTCTTATAACAAATAAGTTCGCGAATTCTAAGTATTTGGCCAATTTTCAAATTTTGCTTACGTATGTTGTCTCAGAAGAAAAGAAAGAAAATTTAATGTAAATTAATATTTAAAGTTTCATTTGAGCAATACATTGCATAAAGATGACTATAAATATATTTTTACAGTTCAAAATATAAAAAAATAATTGAAGTGTTTTAGATATAAATCTTAAAATATATGATCGTAGGCAAAAATGCCTGTCCCTTTCAAGTTTAATCTTTTAAATATGAACCAGTAGTGTGTTATATTCAAGATAAAAATTAATTGTAGAAGTTTTTCTCTTTAGGAAATCGATAAAAATAATTTGTCTTCCACTTCATTTCAAGTCCGTTATTTTACCCACAATTAGCTTGTAAATCTGTCTTAACGGGGCAGTACATATTCAGTGACATAGATAAACTAATGTACTGCCCCCTTCGGTCAGATTTACAAACTAATTGTGGGTAAAATAATCTCAAGCTTATGGACCTGACATGAAGTGGAAGACAAATTATTTTTATTGATTTGCTAAATTCATATCTAAAAGATTTCAAAGTGATATTTTCATTTTTTAAGTTGCAGAAATATATTTGTAGTCATCTTTATACAATGCATTGCTCAAATTAAACTTTAAGTATTAATTTATGTTGAATTTCCTTTTCTTTTGTGACAGCACATGTAAGCAAAACTTGAAAAATGGGCCATTAACAGCAATGGTCGTGTTTTTAATATCTTCTATGATATTTAGCGACTTTAGACTGGGTTCAGGAGAGGATTAGTATTATTTACGTGGCAATCTATGGGGAAAAGGTGCTGGGATAAGAAATAAATCGCAAAAAGAAACAATATCCCCGAAGGGATTAGGCTTGTTATGCGAGGCATCACTGTACATGAACAAATTCAACTGGTAAAGGCCTGAGCCACTGAGGCCCTTTAACTGCGAGACCCACATGTTGCAGCTTATTTATCTGATGTCCAAGCTCGGGGACGAATGCAACAGATCAATATCTTCATCAACTCTTCAATTTGTAGCGTTCTCTATTATTTAAAATTCATTTTAAATTACAGCGTGGTATGAATTTTGATATTTTGTTATCTTCAATCCTTGAAGAGATTTAATTCTAAAAATAATCGGTATTCTATAATCGCATTTTTTGCCCTTTGCTCACACTATTAATACATCTATTCGCTCACATAAATGAAGTAGATAAACTTAATTTATTCAAATCTTTCACAGACTGAACATGAGGAAGGACATTCGTTAAACAGCATTATTATTTGTTCATCCAATTGGAGTGTTCAGAACCGTCCCCGCGGTGTTTCCCCGCAGTGACAAAAATGAGGAGAAATGCGAAGGAGAGTTTTGTTATCTTCTGCAGTCCTAATCTTTGCAGAAGCTTAGCACAAGGATTTGATTAATCTACTGATAGAATATACTTATTTGCATTCGCCCTATTCACAACAGAGCTTTATCTGTGAGCTTCAAAGCTCATGGGAGTGAAACCACTGCAGCTGCATCCCTCCAAGGAAGCGAGATTGACATATTCCGTCCTGCTCGGGCTTTGATTTAAATAAGCTGGTTGCATTTTAAATGGTTGATTTCAAATATTTTATTCTCATTACTCACATAAAATCTTTTTTATTTTTTTCTAACCAGCCCTTTTAATACTTTACAAGCTTAAAAAAATGTTTTTTTTAATTGTGCTTATTTTTCAAAGCTAATTTACGCGCAGTATACCAAAAAGTCATTTTTGAGCATTTCAGCTGATTGTTTCTGTGTTATAAATATGTAAACAATTAAATTAATAAATGATTCATGATTTAAAACAATAAAAAATATGACATATTTTATTATAAGGCGCATTTTTGACTCACTCAGAAACAAATCTGACCGAAAAGTTTTATTTTTTCGAGTTTCTTTTATTGATTTTATATAAGCACGATAGGCACGAAAATAACAATGTCTATCGTATCTTCACTGCACCCGTAGGAAAATTTTTCTATAGAAGTTGAAAGCTAATAGAGTTCTTTAAAAAAAAAAAAAAAAAAAAAAAAGGCCGGGAGCTTTATTTAATAGCCATTAGCCTGACAGAGTTCTATAGAAATTCCTAGAACACATTATAGCTAATCCTCTATAGTAGAGTTTCTTAAACTTTCTTCACAGGACCTGCAGCAAGGGGCCGCCAAAAATTTTAGCAGTTTTCATATTTCTTTAACTTATTATAATAATTTTACACTTACCAAATATTTTTACACAATATTTTGAAAATAGATAAAACAATACAGACAAACAAAAACAAAAAAAAAAAAAAAAAAAATCAACGAAAATGTCTCGACGCAATCTTTTTTATAATATCGACATTCATTTTACTTGCCTTGCACGTGACGCTGTCAACTCTTCTGCGACTTATTTAAAATTTTCACATTGTTCTATTCTTAAAATTAGAAATTAAAGTTAATGACCTAAAACTGCAATAGTATATTACAGTACAAGTGGAAAAAGTGACAGTTCCACTCACGTGTGTGTTGGATTTGGGCAATAATTATGGGATCCCACAAAATTTTTGTAAATATTACAGGGTCCTGGGGGTCGCGAAAAAATCTCAGTGATAAAAAAGGTCGCGAGTGAAGAAAGTTTAAGAAACCCTGTACTAGGCAATCTACAAATGAATTAACTTTAAAAAATATGTCGGATTTGTGCAATGCTTATGGGGTCCCAAAAATTTTTGTATGTGAAGGGGTCGTTTTAGATAGGGTCTTAGAAGAGTCCTGTATAGTGTAATAGTCCTGTGTAGTGTAAGACACTTGGCTTTTACTATCAGGTTAGACACTTGGCTTTTACTGGTAAGTCCTTCTCTGGCTACTCAGCAGAGGGCACCCTTGTTGTCACAGTTAGCCCAACAGTTTATGTTAAAGGATTGGTTACAAACTTCCCTCTGGCTCTGCCGACGTCTCGGCAAGGAGACAGAACTGAAGGATTTGGGAGCTCTTGTAACATTGTCTCTAGTCTCAATTTTTTTGGTTTCCTGGGTAAGGGGACCTCTCTTTGAAGCACTGTCCGGAACCACAAGTTCTTGATTATTTCGGGAATGCAAAGTAACTTTTGGTGGTCTACCTCTCTTCCTAAGCGGAAGAATGGGAGAAGTGGACGTGTCTTTGAAAGGTGTTAGTGCAGACGTATAGTACGCTCCTAACGGTTCTTATGATTTATGAAGGCTTGAAATGACATACGAAGTACGTGATTTCTGTGTTATTACCAAGTACGGATCGTCACGCTTTGGTAGGAACTTTGAAGTCTTTTTGTTCTTTTGCATTGCTAACGGGATGTAAATTGACCTGTACTTTATCTCCTGGTGAATAAAACACTTATCGCCTTCCTTTATTATATTGCTTTTTACGTTGATCTTGCTTTATTTCGATACGCTCTCGTATGTCCTTTATAATAGTTGCGAATCGTTTAAAGATAAGGAGTGATTTCAGGAACAAAGTTATCATTTTCGACCACAGATCTGAAATCGTGAACAACGTCGTCGACAGTCCTCAGATCTTTTCCAAACATTGGAAATGCTGTTGTATGGCCTGTAGTGTCACAGAGGGCCATATTCATAGCGAAGCGAATAACTGGGAGTTTCGAATGCCAGTTGTCATGCGCATCTCCTACAAGGATTGCAAGACGAGGTTTTAAGTCTCTATTTTTCCGTTCCACATGATTTGATTGAGGAAAGTAAACTCGTATCAAGTTTTGATTGATATTTAATGTGCAGCAAACTTGTTGCATGACTGCACCGATAAACTGGGTTCCGTTATCGCTGATGATTCTTCGTGGTATACCATGCCGCATGAATACTTCTTCAGTGAGGGTTATAGCGTTGTCGCGTGCTATAGCTTAAGCAAGAGGAAATAACTCAATTCATCGCGTAGCACTGTCTTCGACAA